TTCAAAATCAGAGCTTGTTAAATTTCTCGCACAATTTTCGTAAAATTAAGTTCTAGCTGAAACTTATTTTATACCTGCTTTGCTGATTTTGCGTAATCCACTTCCAAAAGCGGAAAATGGGCGAAATTCGTATTCATGTTTAAAGAAGTATTTGATCGAAAGCTGGCAAACTGCGTGAAAATGAAAGCTTTCGCTAGAACGCGTGGATTTAAATTTTCTCGCTGGTGGAAAAGTGAAAGTTGCAATAAAATGAATATATACATATTTACATATGTATCCTTAGCATATATATATATATATATATCTATCTTTATATATCTTTCCGTAGTACATCGAGGATGAGCAGCGGATTTGGTTGATGCTCTTCGAGCTCTACGATCGCGACTTCAAGAATCGCAACTCGGAATATCACGAACAGCAGGCACAGCTCTATAAGGAGGCGCAGGTAACAGGTAGGTGGCCATCTCCTGCCCATTCAGTTAATCCCTGACGTTCCTCGCCAGAAATTGCGAATGTGCTGTGGCAGCATCGCGTGCGCCTGGCCGCCTCCATCTCCCGCATGCGGATCGGCGTCGGCGCCCTCCGACTCTCCCAGCTGCTGCCCATACATCTGCAGAACGAGAAGGTGGCCATTGCGGCAGCCAATCCCGTTGTCACCGGCTGGATAAATCCCTTCCTCGTGCGGTAAGTCAGCCCTGCCCGTGGCCAGCTGCAATTTGATAACTTCCCCAACCCAGCAACAAGTCGGAGGCGAATAAGATACTCACAGAGATGGGCTACACGGTGCACGGGCCGGACGATGAGCAGCCGCTGCTGGAGCAGCACTGCAAATGGGACAACATTTGCCCGCTGGTGATATCCATTATACCCAAGGATCGCAGCGAGTTCACCAAGTCGCGTCTCATGACCAAGCACTATTTTATTATGCAGGTGACCTTTTGGATAGACCCTAATCCCGTCCAGCTTTCTCTAGATCTCCCTTTTGCAGGACAAAAACTTTTCGTATGGCCCGGCGATCATGTCCAAGCTCATGGACTATTTCGAGCTATACGGTAAATAGGCTAAATATTTATGGATTTATTTGGAATATTCTTTATGTCCATGTCAACCAGGTGACATACTGCAAACCCATGTGGATTCGCCCCGCTCCACCGCGTACCTGGCGGCACTTTTTTACTCCGTGAATCGCGTGAATAACTTTTATGTCTACGGCGCGGGCGCCAATCTCAAGGATTACCGACGCTATATGGAAACCATTGGGGTAAGATTCAAATATATCCCTCTCATAGAGATCCCTGGAGCCGCAATCTTCCCCTGCAGGTCAACAACATACGGCTCTTTGGCGACGCCTTCACCTCCTTTCCCATGGAATCGAATCGCTTTCGCAGTGTTGTCGGCGTCTTTGCCACGCCCCCGAATTCATTTAGCGCCATCTCGGATCCAATTGATTTGATTTGCTCCCGTGGCGGAGATCTGAGCATGCTCGAGGTGCTCACCGAATCGGAGGTCAGCGATGAGGGCAAACAGCGCGTCGGCTGCATTCTGGAGGAGCAGCTGCTCACGCTGACCATGTCGATGTCGCGGCCGCAAATCCAGTTTGTGCTTTATCAGACCCATTCGATAGTCGGCACCGAGAACGAGGATATGGTGCAGCATGTGCTGGGCGTGATCAACAGGCTGGCGCTGGAGAAGCATCGACAGGCGTACCGGGAGGTGAAACGGCTGGAGGCCATTGCCGAGGCTGAGGCGGCCAATATACCCGCTGCGGCCATGTCCAAGGAGTCGCCGCGCAAAAAGGACAAGCTCGCCGCCGAGGATAAGCGCAAATCCCAGCCGGAACTGAACGCCAAGCCGGGCGAACCGACGGCGCCAGCGGCTGTCCAGCTGCCGCGCGTCGACAGCATCGATCTGATTGTGACGCCCGACATCGATGAGTTCGTCCAGGACACTGTGCCGGACATCTGCATCAACCAGGACAACTGCATCCAGCAGCTGGCGACGGGCAGCTACCTCTCGCTCGTCCGCCGCAAATCGCTCACCCAGCTCAACGAGAAGTACCTCATCCGCATGGCCGAGCGCCGGGGACTCTTCGGCAAGCCGGAGCGCGACAAGACCAAGACACGCGGCGTCAAGCTGCAGGAGACCAACGAGCCGCCGCCGCCGGATAACAACTATGACAACTGCTCCGCGGGCTCACGCAGTGGACAACAACATGCGGTGAGTGCGAGTACCTCAAGCAACTATTTATGCATATACATATACCAGGGATGGGAATACCACAAAACAAAAAAAAATGGTTCGTGGTTCGGTTCACGATTTGAACCAATGCTGAGTTAAGAGCTTCGCTTCGTGAATCTCTTTTTGCAGATCAAGGGAATCAGGGCTTGGTTGGGAACTTGTTTTAACAAATTTCTGTCAATTTTAGCTTAAATTTTGAAGGAAGATTTCACAATTGGTTCGGTTCACGATTTAAGCCAATGACTCGCCACGAGGTTCGGTTCGTGAAATTCTTTTTTCACATCGAACGATTCAGGTCTGGGTTTGAACCTTGTTTCATCAAAAATCGTCCAATTTTAGCTTACATTTTTAGGGCACATTTTACAATTGGCAGTTCGGTTCACGATTTAAGCCAATGACTGGTTCGGTTCATGAATCTCTTTTTTGGTTTGAACCTGGTTTCAGCAAATTTTTGTCAATTTTGGAAAAAACTTTTAAGCAATATTTTAAATAAGTTTTATAGAATTGAAAAACTATTTTTAAATGAAAAATAGTTTAGTTTAGATAATTAAAAAAATATGATCCGGTTCGGGCCTTGGTTCGGCTGTGCCTTGGGCATTTATCTAGTTGAAGATTCGGTTTATAGTTTACAAGAGTTGAATATTTGGCTTTGAACTGGTTTAGGGTTTAATTTTAAGTGTTTAAAAAAGTAAATTCAAGGCCGAACCGGTTCGATTTGGTCGATATTGCTTATATGGCGCTTCGGCGGAAGTCAGTAGGTGGAAATCAAGGGATATGTTAGTTGTCTTTCTTTTATGTAAGAAAAGACAAGATGGTTCTAAATCAAATCTTCCGCAGGATGAACCAAAGCTTAGCTCAGGCCTCAATTTGTCAATCGATTGAATTGTTTAACAAAAATTTAAAAAAAAAACACCAAAAACTGAACTGAAGGATTTGGTTCACAAAGGGAACCAGTTTCAGGCAGGAATTTTGGTTCAATTTGTGAACCGCTCCACTCACAAATTCCTTCGAGTGAGCAGCCCTGGTTTTTCCTATTATACAAATCAAAATATTGTACGTGACGTGACGCATTTGGGCCCAATTAATATAAATGACAGTTGAGCTGATATAAAACAGCAAAATTGGCGTCAAACTATCCATTGATTTATGGCAGATATCTGTAAGATATATACAAATGATAAGATAGGCGGGAAGCGACACAAAACCATGCCAAGAAATCCATGGGCGGGTGTTAGACTTTACACTTTATTGTAAACAACAATTTGAGAGGGGGTCGGGTGGGTGGGGGGGGGGGGTGGTTTAGTGAGAGCGGTGGGGGGAGGGGGGGCACTTGGGACTTATGATCTAATAATTAACATGCGCCATGGCGGTGTCAGAGTTGCAATCATCATCAACAACAACAACAACAAACAGAGAGAGAGAATCATCAAATCGGGCGCAGCATCCATCCACCTGACTATTAGATTGGGGTAATTAGCATGAGGCATGCAATCGCAATTGGAATCGCAATCCGGGGCTTAGTCACAGCAGTTTACGAAAAGAGATTAGGTCATGGCATTGGGTTAGCTCATTCCAATCCAATCTCTTGGTGCTATTTCCGCCAGCCGCTGCCGCTGTTCGCCTTCACATTCTTGCCCTGACCCTGACCCTGACCCGGACCCTGCTGCTTCGACTTGTTCTTGTCCAGCTTGCTGTTGGAGTAGCCTCCACTCCCGCTGCCACTCCCGCTCCCGCTGCCGTTGTAGCTGAAGCTGGACTTGAAGGAGGGATTGCCGTTGCTCTTGAACATGGGATTCGTTTTGCCAGCGCCAACCAGGGGCGCCGACTGATTGTAGTAGCTCCTGCTGCTCTGCTGCTGATAGCCCTGCGTGGAGTTGGCGGTGCCCTTTTCGGACATTTGGCGGCCGTACGAGAAGCCCGTGCTGGCCAGGCCGACGGACGCAATGCCCAGGCCCATGCCCACGCCGGAGCCCATGCCCATGCTGGAGCCCACGGTGCCTGTGCCGACGCCGCCCATGCCGACCATGCCAAAGGTCTGCTTGTGGCTGGTGCTGAACGTGGCGCCCTGCTCCCCGCCCAAGGGTCCGCTCTGCGTGTAGAACTGTTGCTGCACCTCGACAATATAGCGATAGGCCTCCTCCATGCTCTTCGGGTTGCGTCGCAGGATCATCGAGTGCGTCGGCTCCGGCAGATGATCCCGAAACACTTGCAGCGTTATACGCTCAATATCCTCCAGCGAGTACAGGGTATCATTGTGGGTCAGCTTGCGATTGAGCAGTCGCTGCTTCAGCTTCGACATCTTCTGATAGTACAGCTCGATATTGGAGTCGAGCACGGCGCTGCGGATCTTGTGTATCAGCGCGTAGCTGGACTCGCGCTCCGCAAAGCTGTGCAGCAGCTGCTCCTTCAGCTTGTGCCAGGACTCGGCCTTCAGCAGAGCGCTCCCATTGCCCGCCTGGCCGTGGCCGTTGGCCGTGCCCGCCGGAGCGCTCAGCTGCCGGGTGAAGACCGCATCTCTGGCCCGATCTGTGCATTTGTTCTTGATGTGTCCAATCAGCTGCGCTTTGTAGTAGTCATCGAATGTGTTGATCGCGGGCATTAGGGCGTCGATTTTGTGTAGAAACTGCGGCAGCTTGCCGGCATCGGTGCCATCGAAATTCTCGACAAGCTTCAGGCGATTCAGCACTTGGTTGTATTTGTTCACGAAATCGGGATCCATGTCAATCGCGCTGTTGTTCTCGTTCCCTATCGATGCGATCTACGCGACGTTCCATGCACGACTACTAGTATATGCCGAAAAAATAAAAATAAATCTCAAGCGAATCGCGTTTCAAAAATCAAATAACAATTTCGCGCGCGCTTCCAATAATAATTGTTGCCGTTGTTGCAGTTGTTGTTGTTGAAATAAACAGATTTTAGATTCTTACAAAATGTATAAATTAACATTCATTAACATGAATTTTACTTCGAACACTACGAACAAAAATACCCCCAACAACAACCGAACCGAACGAATGCGAAATTCGAATTGACACAAACCAACAACCCGCGATACGGCAAACGGGAACGGAATGAATCGGTCGACCGCTCGCTCGCTTCGGTTCGGTTTCGGTTCGGGTTGGGATCGGTTCGGTCGACCGACCGACCGTTCGTCGCGGTCGACCGTTCGCCTCGACTCGGTTCGTTGTCGGTTGTCCCCGCTGCCCGATTGAACTGAAACGCCTCGCATTGTGGTGGTGGTGGTGCTTGTGGTGCTGCTGCTGGTGGTGCTTGTGGGAGTTGTTTTGTATACCCACTGGCTGAATCATATATGCACAAATGACAACAAATAGGAGTGTGAAAGCCAAGGCTGGCTCGAGCAACAGATACCCTGTACACAGCTCTGACTAGACAGTCATATTCAAAGAGGGGGAAACTTTCATTTTTCAATAACTGCTGTGCTGATTGTTTGAATAGAATGCCATTTTCATGTATACACCAAAAGTTAAGTTTATTTTGTATGCTCCACTGTTCTATAAGGGTAACATTTTAGATATCATTCGATGGGGGTGTAATCCAAAAATGAAGGGTATTCCCCTAGCTTATTTAGTATGTTCCACTCTCCTAGACAGTTGTAAACTATACAATCCTGGATGCCTCTATATCTATTTCGATTTTTTTAACTCGTTAATAACCGATTAGTCAAATAAGACCATGGAGTACAAATCGATATTTATCGATTCTTTTGTAAAAGTGAAGGGAGCTATCGCAATAATTGTATCATTATTCTACATATGATAAACGACAAGCTTCATATTCGGGAAATTTGGCATTTTTGTCTTTGATAATCTGGGAAATATGTCCAAAACTGGGGGCTGATATTACCTATTTATAGGAATTTTTCCGGGAAGTTTTATTTTATATAATATTTTGATTGCATTTTGGAAAGTAGAAAAGTAAAAAGCACACATATACGAGAATCTGTAAGAAAGATAATGCTTCTAGTTCTGCTACCAGTTTAGACTCTGAGATCAATAAGATCAACAGACAGACAAACAAAGCTAGAACGACTTAGCTGATCAATCCTGATGAATATATATCTCACCAATATACCCTTTGTAGCTCATTCGCAATGGATACAGGGTATAAAAACACACGGGCTCGACGATCGCACATATTCATAGGCAACGCTTTGACAGATAGAGATAGTAACAACCCAGCAAACACACAACACAAACACACACACACACAAACACACAACACACACACACACACACACACACACACACTCTCTCTGGTGACACGCACATAGATCATAGATCGAAAAAGCGCACACGAATCGAGCTCGGAATCGAAGCGTAGCCAAAGTTTTGTAGATTTCCCAAGCGAAATTATTGAAAGATTTCCATGAAGATATAGCCAAAGATTGCCTTAAGCTATTCGAATAGGCAAGTTAAGTTTTAATTTGTTTGTTCAAGGATTCGCAAAAGTCACTTTGAATATAATTGAAAAACTTTCTATGGCCTGAGGTGTTCGTGGGGGGGGGGGGGGGGCAGGGGCGGGTCAATTAAAGTCTATCAGTCAATTTACAATATATACAATAATAAAATCAGTAAAAAGTCTTCACATAAAATCAATTGTTATTTAATTTGTGCGCTTGGTTTTTTTTTTAAAAGTCTTCTTCAAGAGTAAAAAATAAATGTTTATTTTTCTTTTTTTTTATGCTGACGTTCATATTGAATATTTACATTGATCTATTAACAATATGCTGTTAACTTTATGAGAATAAATGTGTAAATAGCATTTTTTCAAGAGCATTTTGTATATGAAAGAATATCCATTTTTCTAGAGAATGACTGTACCATGGCCTTGATCGTATTTCTATAGGAAACACATTAGTAGGTTTATCAAATATATTATAATATATATAAATATATTTAATACCAATTAAAATTGTGTTGTTTTTCGAAATGAAAACTCTCAACAAATTAGCCTATAGATAAAAGCAAAAGTATTTTTCCGCAGGAAACTTATATTTTAACCCTTAACAAATGCCTGATATAGAAAATTTCCTCCTGTTTAAATTTATTATTATTCAATCTAATTTCGAATATCTTTTTAGTTTACACAAAGCTAGCCCTTTCTTTTTGTCCAACTTTTGTGTCTCTAAAAAAATTCCACAAATATTACTCGTTGATCTAATTTTAAGTCTCTTTTCTATGTTTCTTTTTTTGTGTGTCCAAATTCTCTTTTTTTTTCACCAATATTTTTGAGCTTCTAAAAAATCCAATTCAAAAATATTTTTTATTTAAGCTTATTAATCGTTGCTTCTTTTTTTAAGTTACCAATTTCTTTTTTTTTATCAATTTTTAAAGTTGTTTTGCTTCATTTTATGTGATTTTTTAAACTACTTTTGAGTATTTTTTCGTGACTCGCTTCTTTTTTTAAGTTTCTAAATTCTTTTTCTCAAAGTATAAACAATTTTTTGTTGTTGTTTTGCTTTATTTGATGACATTATTTAAACTCATTTTGAGTATTTATTTTTGACACACCTTTTTTTTAAGTTTTTAAATTTTGCTAACTATTTTTTGCTCTTCCAAAAAAGTTCTAAATCAAATACACAATTCATTAAGCCAATTGCGAGTGTTTATTTATAGCTCGCTTCTTTTTTTAAGTTGCCAAATTCTTTTTTTTCCCAGCTTCTAACAATTTTCTTTGTTTTTTTTTTCGCACTTACCAAAAAAGTTCCAAATCGAATATGTCGTAGATTAAGCTAATTGTGAGTGTTTATTTATGGCTCGCAACTCTTTCTAAGCTGCTAAACACTTTTTTCTTGCCAACTTTTAATATTCGGCAAAATGTATTTTGCGTTTCGACACGAAAACCCGAAATCGTATCTCGGCCCGCTTCGATTGTTCTGTTGTTGTCTCTGCGTGACACACAATTGGCATATATGACGACGATGTGTACAGAATTTTATTGGACCCAAACCGTACACCTCTTGCCCCTCCCCACCCCGCCCCCCTCTGTCGCCCGCACACCTTATCGTGGGCGCTTTTAAGGTCTGGTGCGCCGGCGTGCGCGATTCAACTAATTAGCAACAATTTTGAAGCGTTAGCGGCTTGTAAAACTGTTTAATAATAGCCGAGCCCAACATCAACACCAAAACCAAAACCAAAACCAAACCCAGAGCCCAGAACCGTAGACCCCATAGACAGAGAGCCAGCCGGAGGACGCCTGACCGGCTGCTAGGTGTGTGTGTGTGTGTGTGTGTGTGTGTGTGTGTGTGTGTGGGGGGTGCTAATTCGAGCCACGGCTCCAAATTGATAAGCGCATTTAATTGCCCTCAGCTGCGACTGGGACTGCGGCTGGGTCTCGGTCTGGGGCCCGGTTCGACTGTCAGTTCGCATTTGTTCAAACCGCATTCGCGATTAAAAACAATTTACAACTTGCAACTGTAATTTTTACAGTAATTATGTAAACAACAACAAATTGTAAATCTTTGCTCTGTGCGCCGCCGCCGCCTTGATAAGCAAGTTCAGGGCCAAGGCCACGGGGCCACAGTCCCCCGAGACTCGCAGTCGGAGTCGGAGTCAGAGGCCGCCCGCAACCCGCCGCCCGCAAACCCGCCGCCCGCATCCGATCCCAAAAGCAAACCCAACTGAATGGAGTTTCACTTATCACACAAAGCTTTGAATCATTTGCAAGCCAAATTTAGCGTAACATTCTTCTAAGCGAATTACAGTAAGAAACAAATACATTTTTTGCATATTAAACTATGAAAACTAATTATCTGGCACTAGCCGAAAATTAGATACACTTGCTGATAAATTGTTAGAAATCAAATTGAGCCAATTTTTAGTTAGAAACTTTTACACCAGTTCTAATTGGGCTAGATAAATAAATAAATAATAATATAATATATATATTATATAATAGTAATATAATAAATAATAATAATAAATTAACAAATAAATTAAAATAATAAATTAACAAACATAAAAATATATATTATAAATAATAATAATAAATTAAAAAATAAATTAAATTAAAAGTAATCCTAAGTAATCCAGGCAGCTGATAAAGCAGGACCCAGGTTCGAATCTCAGTCTAGTAGCAGTAAAAAATAAAAATAAATAAATAATTAAATTCACACTTATAAATTCCAATACAGCCATAATAAATATAATTAAAACAATCAAGTTTATACTAACAATAAAAAAAAAGACAATCATTATAAAATTTGTATGATCATAAATTGTATTTTGTTTATTATTAGTATAAACTTTTATTATATAATATCAACAACAAAATGATTACACCTATCAAGGTCGCAAAATAAGAGAAGAAAATGTCAATTTTTTGGTTCATGGTTCAAATCCACTCCTGCTTTAAGCCTTGATTCATGAAGTTGGATTCTAACATCCTTCTGCCTTGATTTGTCATATATTTTCCAAATTTGTTTTAAGACAATTCAATTCATAGTTTACAATTGCCCGTTGTTCTGAAATATATAGAAAGCCTTATATATTTTCATATACAAGGGCTACATTTGTGTTCTATAATAAATAGGGCTAAGATTCATAGAACATTAATTGTGACCAAATTTATTTGCACTAAGGATTAAGTTATTTTTACTATGAAAAAAAGTTCTTCAATTTTCGCTTGACTATTCCTATGACAGCTATAGGATATAGTGAATCAATCCGACTGTTATCAGTTTATAAACCATCTCTATCAAAAATAAACATCTTTACCAAATTTCATTAACATATCTGCAAAGAAAGCTGAGTTCCTATGGAACAGTCAGGTCTAATGGGCTCCCAGAAATGGTTTAATCAGCTCGCTATTCCGAGCAAGCTCTACATAATATCAAGATTTACCCCTGTTAACAAATATATAATGCTCATTGTGAGGGTATAATTAATAAATAGAAAATATGTTCATTGTTTGAAAAACGAATTAATTAAGTGCGCGTGCCTGTGCGCGCCTGTCTCGCTTCCATTTTCAATTCCATTTCCGAACCGATTTGGAAAACCTAACGCACAACAACAACAACAACAACAACAACGACTACAATAGGGCCGCCTGCAGCACCAGCGAGCGACCCACTCGAGCGCCATTCGTTCGCACCTGACAAAGGTGTCGACAACGCAGAGGCATCCGATAGCGTTTAATTTTAGGCGGCGGGAATGCAAACGCTTCTACGTTTTGCCCGTTTATATGGTAAGTCGTCATAAAGCCAAAAATAGAACAAATCAAAATTATTATGGCCATAACAACAAATTAAATTTTCGAAACGCACACAGCATAGCACAAAGCACAACAGTCGTCTGTGGTGGCAATATGCCTTCAAGTGTGTCACGCGCCTGGCTAGCGATGCCGTCTGGAATCCCAATCTGAAATTCAAGCTGCACTGCAAGCGACAGCTGCGCATCCGCAAGCTGAGACGCGTCCAATGGTGCCACAGGGAGCCGCTCCGCCTCCACATCACAGACATCCAGCTGCTCTGCCAGGTGCGCAGGTACAGTAAGTAGAAATCATAACAACTTATGGCAGCTATATGATCTATACAGATTATGGCATCAAAGATCTATCAGTGTACAGCTTATAATATTAACTATTGTAAAATATTTTATACATTTTTTGCATACAAAACAATCCAATGTTATGGAGCACACCTTTTGTAGATCAAGTGCCGTTTGGGTTTCAGCTTATTCGAATTCTTCTAATCTTCTAAGCAAATCAAAACTCAATTAAATATGCTATACTTTTAATTTAATAGGTTTGGACCAGTTTCGTAGTGCTTCTTAAAATGCTACATTCAAGTATTTGATACGTTATACATTTAAGTCTTTTCATCAAGTTTTCCTTTTTAACCGAGATTTAAAAAAATTACAAACATATCCTCTAAAAGTTAGTATCAATAAAATTCATTAATTCGCAAAGCAAAAGTGATACAAAACTTAATTAAAAAACAGAAATTTAAATCAAGTTCAAAGTCAAATTAAAACTTATTTTAAGGCCCAATCTCTTATTTGGGTGTGCTCAAAAATATGCAATACAAAATGCAATAAAAGAACAGAACAGCAAAAATTTCAGTTATTATATGTCTCGATAACAAAGATTTTTAATAATATGCCAGCAATTTGTAATAAATTATTAAATTAATTGTTGTGTTTGGGACTTTAATGTTGACAATCAGAAAATATATGTATATCACCTACAGTGCACGAGTTGGGGGCCATATCAACTAAAGTCAATCAAGTAACAGGCAAATGTAGTTATAGCTGCCAGAAAAAAAAATAAGTACATCTATATAGATAACTAAAGGCAATTGAGAACTTGAATTTAACACTGAGTACAGCATGTGTATATATAATATATATTTTTAATTTTTTAATGATTTGACGAATATTGAGCTATTGCAATTACCGACACTCGAGTGTGAATGGAAAATGTGCGTGTTGTGTTGTGTGTGTGTGTGTGTGTGTGTGTGTGTGTGTGTGTGTGTGCTTGTAAACGAATTACATGTATTTTTTTTTAATGCATTGCAATTAAAAATTCCGATAGCGAAACTTTACGATTACTAATGTATGAAATGTTGAGTAGTGTTGGAGAAAGGGAGCGGGGGGGCGACTATGAATATATATATATATGTATTTATTTATATTTAATAGTAGTAGTAATGCTGATACAGCGAGTATATCCTAATTGGGGCACGACTCCCAATGTGTGTCCCAGGCGCGCACCTGCAATCAATTAATATTTGAATGAATATATAGGAGCAACTCTTTTGCGAAAAACCACATCTCTCTCTCTCTCTCACCTGACATTCTCGACTGCAGTACCATTGATTCTGACAGCCGGCGCACATGTAGGTGGCCTTATAGCGTTCACAGTGCTGGCAGCGGCGCTCCAGCTCCTCCGGCCCATTCATAGTGGCACCCATGCGCTTGCTAACATTGTTATTGCTATTGCGATTGTTTTGATTCGCGCCGCGGTCCAGCGACTCTAGACCCTGCAGCAGCTCCGCCCGATACATGGAATGTACTTCGTTGTACTGAAATAACCAAAGGAGTCAGTGGGGTTATATGTAAGCTTATACTGTGGATGCAGTGCACCTACTTGCTTATTTGTATCGTTGCTTTTGCGCTGATTGCCTGTGGCCAGTGGGCTGCTGTTGTACAACGGCTTGGGTGGCATCTCATTATCAAAATGATTGTCCAGCGGAGTGGTTTGGCTGCGTCGCGTATCCTGTGGCTGCTGCAGCTGCTGTTGGCGATACGAGGAGCTTCCAGCGAGATCCGTTGTAGAGCCTGTCAGCTGCTTGGACTCGTTGATAAGCTGCTGATAACTGCAAATGGAATTGTTTAAAAACCTCAACTGTAGCTGAACCTAAGGCTATATAATCCTACCGTGACTGTGGCGGCTGTTGTTTATTCCGCTTGCCGAGCAGCTCCTCGGGCTGCTCTCGGCGATAATCCTCATGCACGGCAGTAGAGCGTCCATAGATACTCGACCGATCGCCCACTATGGGCGGCAGTGATGCACGCATGGCCGGCACAGAGTTGCGTCTGTGCAGCTGCTGCGTCTCATAATGCTGTGGCGGCGGCGGCGGCATGAACAGCTCCGCAGAGGACGGCGCCTTCTCCTGCAGGCCCAAAGCGCTGGAGGATTAAAGAACAACAAATTAAGTTAACAGTCAAACCGTCAAATCACAACAAACATACCCGCGCAAGACTTTAATATCATCCAGTCCATTTTCCACTCTGTTGATCAGCTGCTCGACCGCGCTGGAGCCACGGCGCGAGGGCATTGGCGCATTTTGTTCGTTGTGCAGCAGTGAATGCATTTCATATAGCTCCGATGTGCTGCAGTTTTTGTTCAGAATCGAGGGCAGTATCTCCTTCATGATAAGTATGCGCTCTTTGCGCTCAATGCGCGCCAGCAGCTCCTCCTTGATGCAGCGCAAATGCAGCAGACGATTATGCTCCTCCTCCTTCTGGCTAATCAAATTATCCAGCGTCTTGATGTCCGCCTCAATGCGCTGCTTCTCATCGCCATACGACTTGAGCTCCGGCTTGACGGCGCGCACCTTATCACTCATAATCTCGTCCAGCTCCGTGTACAGCTCCTTGACGCGCTGATGAAAGACCGCATCGCTGTTGCTGTTGTTCAGATCAACTGAGGATTTGTTGCGCGCTGCTGACGTGGGCGCCGCAAGAGTTTGTGTCTGCCTGGAATTGGATTCGGAGCGCTGCTTTGGACGTGGCGGCAGCTGTTGCTGTGGCTGCTGCTGTTGCTGCACAGGCTGCTGTTGATGTGGCGGCTGCTGTTGCTGTGGTGGCTGCTGTGGCTGTGGCGGCTGCTGCTGGTGAGCGTAGGGCGTGGCAAATATGTGCGCCTCGTGTGCTGCCTGCTGCTGTATCACGGCCGGCGCGCTGACTGTTTGAGCTAGAGCTGCGGCACTTGTCTTAATGCACTCTGGCGCAGCCAAGGACTTCTCATTCGGATAGACTATCTCCATGGCTTCCACTGGTGGTGTGGGCGTCTCCAGGCTATACGAGATGGCAGCCATGTTTTCTGGCTGCATCGTCTTCTTTTGCGCATAGAAGTCCATGTCGATAGACGGTGTCAACGTGAACGGTGAGCCCAATTTGAGCACAGGCGCAATTGATGGTGACTCAGTGTTGGTTCTGGACGCCAACAGCTGGGCAACAGTTGCTTGGTTAATGCTCGGCTTATTCGGAGACGCTGTCGGTGGTGTCGGGGGTGGTAATTGTGCTGCTGCTGCCGCCGCTGCTGCAACTGCAACTTGCTGTGCTGTTGTTGGCGCCTGCTTTGCAGGAGTTGCATAAACAGGCGTAAACTCTATAATGTCATCATCCACATCGACGGCTGGCAACGACTTGGTGCGCTTCTCCACATGCGGCTCAGTCGATGGCGGCGTGACCGAACGACGGCGCTTGAGTGTGGCCTCTTCCAGAGGCATATCCAAGCTAGCTCTGGTCTCAATTGCTGCTTTATAGCCCAGGTCTAGGGCAGGCAACTCTGGCATGTCCTGCTGTTGCTGCTGCTGCTGTATGCTGTTATTACAGCCGGCGGCCTCTTCTATGATCGGCTCTGCAGCTATGACCGGCTTCAGGGTCAAGAACTCATCCAGCACGGAGCCATTTTCAGCTGGCGTTGCCTCACTCTCTATTTCCAGTTGCAAAGTGAAAGGCGGTGGCGTCTTCGATGCCACCTGCTGCGGCTCATTGCCTGCCGCCGGCGTGTCGGTGGGCTTCTCCGGCGAGTCTTCATTCTCGGTATCGTCCAGGCAGATCAGCTCGGGCGACAAACTGCCCGTGTGGCTGCGACTACGACTGCGACTTGGCGTGCGTCCACTGTGTCGACGTTGTTGGTGGCGCGCCTGCTGCTCCCGTTCAATAGCCCGCTTGGCAGCGCGGTATTCGGCCATTCGCCTCGCCTGCGCCTGAATTTTGGGCAGAGCGCGTCGCAGCTGGCTCATGTAGTCGGTTTTATTGGTAACCCGTTGATTTAGCCTGCACGTAAAAAGCTATTTAATAACCACAGGTATTTGCAGAAAAATAAAAAATATGCATAGAGTTCTCTTTCGGTTGTCACTTTGAATGAATGTCAAAAAATATCAAATTGATTCATTTGACATAACAATTTCTTTGAATACAAATTCTGCTGGCTTAATTAGCTTAAAATTTCAACTATTTCCTCAAAGATCAATGTTCATATGTTTAAACCTACATCTCTATATATAATTTGTCGGACATGGACCCTTTTTTTGGTTCCAGGAACAGACATACATTTCTAAGAAAAGAACTTGTAAGACAATTGGCCTTCCATTAAAATCTCAAACCATAGTTGACCGCTCAAGCGAGCATTCACTGTAGTTACTAAAGCCCTGAAAAGGAGCTCTAGCTGGGCAATCCAGGCATTACTCAGTTATTGAGAACTGTTACGGATCTGTCAGAATATAATAATTGTTTAGAGTATTTACCATTTTATGCTGCGCCGCTTGAAATACAGATTCGCCTGGTTGTCCCGCTGCATTTGCTTGATTTGACGCTGCGTATGCTCCCGACTAGCTGGCGGCTTCGTTGACGCGGCGGCGGCGGCGGCATCCAAGTCATCGGATAGTTTACGGGGCGTGGTGGAGGTGCTGTCGGTTTTGTTCGGTGAGCTGTCATTGGATTTGGATTTGGCTGACTTGGCGGGCGTTTGCTTGCTGACGGCCACATCCATTAATGCATCGTCGTCCTCGTCGTGGCTGTATTCATCGCTGCTCAGTTGCGAATTTGACGAGTCGTAAATTTCCACGTTCGACATGGTTGAATTTGTTAGAACTGCCTGCACACACACACACACACACACGCACGCACACTCAGAAACTGAAATCTAAACACATGTAGTACGAGATCATATAATTATATGTTTGCTGGGCCATACTTACACGCTGCTGCTCACGTTTTACACAAATTCAATTTTTTTTCGCTCTTGCAAAAAAGCGTCGCGTCTGCCGGCAGAAATGGCTGTTGCCCTTGGTGCCGCCTCGCGAGTGCTTACCGTACGGTTGCTCAATAAGCAAAGCTGTGTTTGTCTTGTTATTTGCACACAATCGACCAAATGGCAATTGGAATAGTACTTCTTTTCTTAATTGTTTTCTAGCATTGCAAAAAAATTTGCGGCGACGACGGCTTTTATTCGTGTATAGATAGTGGAGGATGGCAATAAAAGAAGAAGAAATGTTTTTGCTGTTACTGACAACAGTGCACCTAACAGAGATTGAGCCGTTAACATTTGGTGAGTCTGTTAAATAACATACGGTTTTCTAATAACACCTCCGTTATGCGATTTATGAATTTAAGAACAATACTAAGAGTTTTTTAAATATTTTGTATGCTGGTGGTCAAAGAGTTCAACATAAAGCATGTTTGACACAGCAAAAAGTTAATTGGAAAATCGTCAATTTGAGCGGGCATTTGTTACGGCATAACATTTAATGTTAATGTAAACAGAATCGAATTGAGGGGAAGGTAAGGAGTACATATTTTGAAACTTATCGAAAATCTATCGAGCATTAAAACTCATCGATGTTGCATAAGGCAACGATACTTTTGAGTTATCAAAGCTCTAGTTTTTAAATAACAACAATTTGCATATGCTGCTCTAAAAGCATAACCAATAGAATTATTTATAGAAACGCTTTTTTCACGGCAGAGCTATAGTAAAACATATCGTAAATATGTCAATTACATTTAATAAAAGTCACAAACGGAATGCTCATTATCATTTTAAGTAGATTTTTAGCAGATAATTTGAAGCAGATCGAACATAGAGAGACAGCAGCCAATACACATACAGGCAACCACATGCAAACAAGCGAATGTTAACTGCGTGTGTATATGAATATGAATATATATATATATATATGTTTGTGTGTGTGTGTGTGGGTGATACCGATATTAATAGCGTGTAATGACTTGCATTCGTTCAAATGAACTATGGCCACCTTGCAGGGTCGTAAAAATACGTGTGTCCACACATGCACACACACATATACATATGTATAAATATGTGGGAAGCATGTTTGATTTTCTCTATCTTGACTGCTCGCCTCGGACGACAACTACGACAAGCGCTTAGGTTCTCGCAATTGATAACGGTAAAGGGTGATTAGTTTATTAATCATCGATATCAGCACCGTCTATGGAACTAGGGCAAACAGTTGGGAATATTTCGGCATTCAGTTGATCACAGCAGCTGGCTGTGCAAACAAGGAAGTCGCTTGTTTCGCTGCGCGCGTTTTTAAAGAAATATCCCCCCCTCCCCCCTGTCGCTGGCACATCAGATCGGTGAGTGATGATCATTAACGCTAATGATAATTAACCATTGATAAATATGATGATTAAGCATTGAGAAGAATACCTGTTTTTTGAAGTACACATAATCGAATGCCATAGTTCAATTGGCAACTTTATCCATATATCATTATCTGATAAATGCATTTAATAACTGTTTATGTTGTATACTTTTACGCATGTTAAGTTACGTAAAGATCTTAGAGGTTAAAGGAAAAGTAAAATAATTTGAATAACGAATTATCTAAGTAAATCAGTTATTTAGATAACTGAAACAAGCAGGACGCCGGCTCGAATCTCAGTTTAAATGTTGCCATTTGAAAGCTTGATAACTTATAACGAAATTCTATATTGTATAAATTTTTTTATAAATTTTTACTAATTAAAATTTTATAATAATTTTAAATTTGCGTTATTCTATTAATATTATTTATGACATTTCTTATCTTCAGTTTCAACATGGTCTCGTTAACGGAGCTGAAAAGAAATACAATATGCCATATGATAATTGCAATTACATTTTTCTCCTGCGGCCTGCTCTGCAATATCGCCCAATTCCTGCTCCTGATCCTGGTGAAGCCCTTTAATCCCCCGCTATTCCGAAAGCTATCGTATTATCCGTGCTACGCCTTCTACTCCCGTAAGTGATGAACTCAGCCCATTTGAGGTATTCCGATTTGAAGTATTTCGTTTTATCCAATACAATCCAGAGCTGGTTTCTGTCACCGAGTGGTATGGCGGCGGCCGAGTGCACGTGTACATGGACAGCGAGGATTTGAAGACCGCCGGCAAGGAACACGGTCTGATGATTATGAATCACAGTTACGAAATAGACTGGTTGTGCCTGTGGATACTGCTCGATAAATTTGGAATTTTGGGCACCGCCAAGGCGTTTGCCAAGAAACCCATTAAGTATTTGCCGGTGCTGGGCTGGGCCTGGTGGATGGCCGAGTTTGTGTTCCTTGACCGGGACTTTGACAAGGATAAGGAGATCATTGCCAAGCAACTGAAGCTTGTCTTCTCCTATCCCGATCCCGTTTGGTTATTGCTCACAGCCGAGGGCACACGCTTCTCGCCCGCAAAGCACGAGGCATCCGTGAAGTTTGCCCAGGAGAAGGGCATGATCCCGCTCAAGCATCATTTGATACCGCGTACCAGGGGCTTCACCACAAGCCTGCCCACGCTGCGCGGCATCTGTCCGGCTATTTATGACATCAGCCTGGTATTCAAGCGCGACTCAAAGGTGCCCGTGAGTCTGAATTCCATACTGAGTGGCGAGACGGTTACGCCATATATCTTTGTCCGACGATTCCCATTGGAGAAAGTGCCCGAGGGCGAGAAAGAGGCCGCCGCCTGGTTGCAGAATCTGTACATCGAGAAGGATCGCATTGTCGATAGCTTCCATGAGACGGGCAGTTTCTTCAAGACGTCGGGCATTAAAGAGGTGCCCCTCAAGATCTACGAGCCGCGCATCACCAGCCTCATCAGCTTCGCCGTGGTGGGCATCTGCTCCATGCTATCAATCTTCTACTACTTCGTCTCATCCTTGCTGGCCGCGAACTGGTTTGGCCTGATAACCATTATGACCATATTTGTGATATGTACGTATACCGCAAATTTTAATTGTATGCCAATTTTATTTACTGAAATGTTTTTCCCCTTGCAGTTTTCCTGCTGCTGAGAAAAGCGAACAACATGTCAAAGATCAGCAAGGCTTCCACATATGGCAACGCTGGTGGCAAATCGAAGACAAATTAGTTTAATTGTCCAATTTTGTATACAGAATACAATAGGGAAGATTACGTTTGCAACTAAAAAGGAGGCGTCTCCGCACCTTAAAGCTTGCGGATTCTTTGACGGGGATTAAGGAGATATGTACATGTTTATATGTATAGCGATTTAACGATTTTTTTAATGATTTGATAATAAAGAATGCAAAATAAAGCTAGTTTATATATTTTTAGGAATTACATGTCTGGACTTTGGCATAGACTGCTGACAGACACGAAAATTCTTCGTTTGCACTCGCTAGGCGTTAGTTCATAAAAAAAAAGAAACATTTGTCAATGAGTCAAGCTGATTAGATAAACATAATTATGATTATGGGCGTACTATATTTTTTAAGAAACAAAAAATTTGGAAACAGTAAGCGCGATAAAGTATTGGCAGCATTTTTATCAGTCTTTCTACCAATAAACGGTTACCGATTTATGGCAATCGTTGGCTGAAATGAACTTGAAACGAACAACAGGTAGATGATTATTTATGTGATAATTTTTCAAGCTAACGTAATAACACAAACATATGTATTTTATATTTTCGCCATTATTTTTAGGTTATGTTTTGTAGAGCTTTTGGTATTTCAAATGTTGCTGTTTGGCGCGTCAGCTACTCTGCTAAAGCCAGGGCGGCATTGGCAGCCGCTGATTAATCGATATGTGCTGCTAATCCAATCGATAGTTGTGTTGATTGCGGGCAGCGCTAGTTACACGAAAACAAATATCATAAACAAAAGACAGTACGCGGAACGCACAAGAAAAGTTGGGATAAAGTAGATTATGTTGCAAGAGAGCACACACTTCTCGTCATCAAATTATAATGGCTTCCACGATACGAGCAACTTCTATAATAAGTCAGGCTTTACGGAGCTGCTCTAATCAATAGGAATTTAGCAGATATGTACATGTATGTATGTATAGCGATTAGGCGATTTTTTCAATGAGTTCAAAATGACGGCATTTTTTTATATATATGTAACATTAGATGTCTGGACATCTGGCATTGACTACTTGAATTTTTCGTATGTATTCGTATACTTTATAAAAAATTATTGTCAATGAGTTAAGCGCTGATTAGATAAGGTTAAAAGAAAACGGAAAGTTTGGAAGCAGTAAGCGCTTTAAGTAGCGGCAGTATTATTCATAAGCTTGTGTATCAATTATCAGTAATTGCAATCGTAAACTTTAAAATAGTAACATGTAGATTGTATGAAGACTATAAAAAACAAGTAGTAAATATTGGCAGTTAGTAAAATAATTTAAAAATGTTTACTCCAAACGTCGACCACGAGCCATCCAAATCTTCAGCCCAAATGTAATTTTTATTAATTTAATTCTGTGCTAATGTCTTAGAACTATTGCCATTTTAAATATGCCCGCCAATTGCTGCATCAGCTGTTCAGCGGAAAAGGCATAAACCAGGGCGACACTAATAGTTGCTGAATAATGTGCTTAATCGATTAGTTCTGCTGGTCTAAACGATAGTCTTATCGCTTGTCTTGCAGCGCTAAGTGCACGAAAACAACTATAATTGACAAAAAACAATTCGCGAATCGCACAAAAAAACGTTGCTAAGAGGTAAATTGTGTTGCGCGTTCAGAATAAATACGAAATCTACATACATTTAAATGCACAACAACTTAATTGGTATCAAGCGTAACGAAGAAGTGATAGATTGGACAACAGTGCGATTTGTATACATATATGCCATATATGCCATGGCCATGTCAACTAGATAAATATTTATGGCGCTAAGCACAATTTACACGCGATCATTGAACTGAATAGACAACAAAAGTGTAACTAATAATAATTGTAGCATGAAGCTATCACGTTGGCAAAAACAAACACGCACGCACACTAAAACACACGCATACACACACACACAGACACACACACGCACACACACACATAGACACCCTCGCGCGTTCCCACATTTTGTTTGATGTGAAAAAAAAAGTATCTTCATACATACGTAATATATGCAAATAAGTTGGCGATACAAACGTACGTGCATTAAGATTCATTTATGACATGACTGTGCGGACTTTGTCCAGTTCACAAGGCAATAATAATAATCTATATACGAATTGCATTGCTGTCTTGACAACCTTATCTCACCCCGCTGGCCACTGTTTTCTCAGATAAAGACAGTACTTGATTAAACGGTGCATATGTATATATGTATGTATATCTATTGACTGCGCAATCTATGGCTACTTGAATTGGCTAAGGTCTATTCTGCTAATTGACCAACCCAGCTGGTAAATTGATTAGAACTTTGCTCGCATTCGTTCCGCAGTTCTGCGTGTGCCAAGTGTGTGTGAGCTGGTAATAAAATCGGCAGAAAAAAAAAGTTGCTATATATACACCATATACATATATAGATACTTATATTGTGCTTATTTTAAGTCTTATTACGTAAAGTTGTTTAACTACCAGATTAATATACCAGCATATACCCTATCATTTGACTCTTTTAGAATATCCAAGGCGCGACCATGATTACGTTAGAGGAGCTAAAAAAACTGAGACTGATCCATCTATGCATTGCCATAACATTCTTCACCAGCGGGCTGACCATCAATTTTGCCCAATTGTTGCTGCACATTTTCCTGAAGCCTTTCAATAAGCATCTCTTCCGCAAGCTCATGTACTATCTATGCTATTCCTTCTACTGCCGTAAGTAATTGTGTCGAGCTCCAATAGTTTGATACTATATCCTTCCCCTTGCAGAGATAGTTTTTGTCGCCGATTGGTATGCGGGCTGCAAATTGCGCGTCTACATGGACGAGGAGGATGCGAAAAAGTACGCTGGCAAGGAGCATGTGCTGCTGATGATGAATCATAAATACGAAATCGATTGGCTGGCTGGCTGGATGATTTGCGATAAGGTCGGCGTACTCGGCAATTGCAAGGCGTACGCGAAGAAGCCCATCAGATATGTGCCCTGCATGGGCTGGGCCTGGTGGCTAGCCGAGTTTGTCTTCCTCAACCGGGACTTTGACAAGGACAAGGAGATCATTGCCAAACAGCTGAAAATTGTTTACTCCTATCCGGATCCCACATGGCTTCTGCTGAATGCAGAGGGCACACGCTTCACACCAGAAAAGCACGAAGCTTCGGTTAAGTTTGCCCTGGAGCGTGGCATGACGCCGCTCAAGCATCATTTAATACCCCGCACTAAGGGATTTACGGCTAGCATGCCCACGCTGCGTGGCATCTGCCCGGTTATATATGACATTAACTTGGCATTTAAGGCCGATGAGAAGGTTTGTCATTATCCCTGTTATTCTTTGTATTTTCTCTATTCGCAAGCGCGCCTCTCTTTACAGGTGCCGCCCACAATGTTGTCCCTGCTTAATGGTCAAGGCGTCGAGCCTTATATGCTTATGCGACGCATTCCGCTGGAGCAAGTACCTGAGGGCGAGAAGGAGGCCGCCGAATGGCTGCAAAAGCTGTTCGTGGAGAAGGATCGCATAATTGATAGCTTCTATGAGACTGGCAGCTTTTTCGAGAAGTCTGGCGTTAAGGAGGTGCCATTCCAACTCTGTAAACCACGTCTCAGCAGTCTACTCAACTTTGTCGGCTGGGCGACCTATTCGTTGTCCTTAATTATCTATTACTTGATCACGTGCTTGCTGGCGTCAAATTGGACTGGTCTGATTACGGCTCTGTCTGTGCTTGCCATCTGTACGTATTCAAAGAACAGAAGTGATATTTTTCTACCAACTTATATGCCATTTTCTTATTTTACAGTTTATTGGTTAATGGGCGCTGCAATAACCAAAACACAAATCAGTAAAGGCTCCAACTATGGTTCGAAGAGCGCAAAATCAAGCGCACATTAATTTGTAATTATTTAAAAATTCGTTGTTTGTTAACGAATGTTTAGTCAATGAGCCAAGCTGATAATCTCACAATTATATCTACATATACAATTAACTTTTGATCGTGGATTTATGCCTGATACGTTTATCAGCCGTCCTTATCTCCAAGTTTTTGCTACAAAATGATTTTATGTTTTTCTTGGCTATAGGTGAGTTCAAGTTATCAGTTTGGTAATAAATTTAATAAATTATTAAATAAATAAGGCCGCACACTAGACATACACAAAGTTTAAAATGTATAATAATGCAAAAACAAATAATTAAATGATGCAACTACATTTTTAAGCTCGTTTTAAAAACTTCCACTAAAATAGATAACAAAGATTGTATCATCAGCTGACGTAGTATCGATTAAACGATACTATCGATATTTCAGTTAGAGCTGCCACCGCAACCTCTAGCCAAGACAGTAGAAATGCATCGAATATTACAATTATCGATAGTTTTCCAGTTCTACTCCCCATTTTTATAAAACGCCAAATGAAAATTAAAAAAAACTTCGTACCTTTAATTTAATGCAATAATATGTGCAATTTGAAGGTGAGTTAACAACAACTCACTATTTGGTGCTATATACGCAAACGGTACATACTCAAGTGAAAAGTGAAACGTAACACTGCCTCCAGTTTGCAGTTTGCTTTGTCATTTCTGGGAACGGGGGCTCGGGCGCTCTCCTGTAGGCTCAAGGACCGTCTGTTATATATGTGTATATATATATACGGAATGCTTGTCGCAGCACCGAGTTGTGGAAGTGTGCAAGGACTGCTGTTGGGGGCTGCAGGAAATAAAAGTGTCTTTGTTTGAAGTAAAAAGAAAGCAGACGGCGAGCTGATGACGTTGAACTACGTTCAAATTTCTCTCCATTGTGCCACTGCCAGTTATATATACAAGGTGCTATATAACTACAATTCGACATATATATGTGTGTGTGCCTTATTAAAAATCAAAATCATAATCATATGGTCAAGGAACTGCTTGGAGTTCCCAGTTCTCGCATATGCAGAAATGTACGTACATAGGTATGTGGCAAGCACACACATACACACTCGCACAGTGTATTAATACCAGCGTACTCGCAAGTGTATACAGCTATATATATATATTTCGTGCGTGCGTGTGTGTATGTGCGAGCTGTTGAACGACAGCTGACGTTGTTGGTGGTATCGGTATGGTATCGGTGCGGTATCGGTAATCGTAAAACAAGTTAAAAGCGCAACGTACTTCCTATGTACATACATACATACCTAAAGACATAATAGATGATAGTATGTTTGTATGTATTGATTCGAATGTTTTCCTTACATTTTTTATAGCATGCCGATTCAGGCGCCCTCATGGACAGACTTTCTCAACTGTCCCATCTGCTGCAATGAGTTCGAAGCCAGCCAGCGTGTGCCGATCAGCCTGGGCTGCGGGCACACAATATGCAAGCCCTGTCTGACCACGCTCTACAATCGGCAATGTCCCTACGATCAGGTAAGTTGGCCCCGAATCACAAAAGCAATGTATTTAACTCGTTTTATTTTAATTTAGACGCTTATTGTTACGGACATCGACAGTTTGCCGCTTAACTATGCGCTGCTGCAGCTGGTGGGCAATGGCAGTGGCGGTACAGGTGGTGGTGGCGCCGCCGAAGAGGAGCTGGCAGATCTGGCACCAAGTGTGCTTAAGTTGCAGCCGGAACAACTAAAATGCTACAAGCTGGGCAGAAAATGCATCGAAGAATTGGCGTTGCATTTAAAATCGTTTCTAAATCTGAACAGCAGCAATTTGCTGACCCGGCCCATGCAGCGCAAACTGGTCACGCTTGTCAACTGCCAGCTAATGGAGGAGGAGGGTCGCGTGCGTGCCTTGCGTGCTGCACGTTCCTTGGGCGAACGCACTGTCACCGAACTGATATTGCAGCATCAGAATCCGCAGCAGCTCAGCTCGAATCTTTGGGCAGCGGTACGGACCCGCGGCTGTCAATTCCTGGGACCCGCCATGCAAGAGGAGGTGCTGAAGCTTGTCTTGCTGGCGCTAGAAGAAGGCTCGGCGCTCTCACGAAAAGTACTGGTCATGTTTGTGGTGCAGCGGTTGGAGCCTCGCTTTCCTCAAGCGTCTAAGACGAGCATTGGTCATGTGGTGCAGCTGCTTTATCGTGCCAGCTGCTTTAAGGTGTCGAAGCGCGAAGCGGACTCCTCACTGATGCAGCTAAAGGAGGAGTTTCGCACTTATGACGCACTGAGACGCGAACACGATGCCCAGATTGTGCAGATTGCCACAGAGGCGGGACTGCGCATTGCGCCCGAGCAGTGGTCCTCGCTGCTGTATGGCGACATTACGCACAAGTCCCACATGCAGAGCATCATTGACAAGCTGCAGACACCGTCTGCATTTGCACAGTCCGTGCAGGAGCTGGTCATTGCGCTGCAGCGCACCAGCGATCCCGCCAAGCTGGCTCAGCTGCACAATCATTTGCAGTATTTGGCCGGCATTGATCCGTGCGCTGAGACGGCCAGCTGGGAGGATGTATCCAAGGCGCTGGACGCTGTAAAGCATGCCGTCATGGGTCTAGTACATTTCTTGCAGCATCACGGCATACGCAAGCCACAGGAGAACAGTCTAGCCGGTGGCTCAGCCAACAACAACAACACCAAGTACAAGATAAGTCTGTGCCGGGACCTCAATCATCGACGGGTCTGCCCACGAGGCGCCAGCTGCACATTTGCCCACTCGCAGGAGGAGGTGGAACGCTATCGCGCCCGCAACCGTGGCAAGCATATTAAATCATCCATGCCCATGGCAATGCCCAGTATACCACAAGGTGGCAAGAAGCCGCTGCCCCTGGGCAGCGAAGCGCCTGCACACACCGGCCCAATGATGCCCCCCATATCACCCATGCGCTATATGCAACCGCCAGCACAGCCGACCAGAGGTTTCCTCGAGTCCAATTGCAGCCTGCCGCCTGCAGCACACAACCTGCCCCCCAGCGGCGTCCATCCACAATTGCTGCGCGCACATCACAGTCCCATTGGTCGCCAGCAGCAGCAGCAGCAGCAGCATGCGGCACTCAATGGACTGCTGGCGCCACCGGCACCAGGACGCTATGAGCAACGTTTTAATTATGGCCCGGCGCCGGCTCCGCCACGCAGCAATGCCACGCGTGAGTATCCAGGCAATTCCCCGGCTCAGCCGCCGCAACGCAACCCACCGAACTACAACAACATCAGCAACAACAACAACAACAACAATATACACAACCACAACAAGAGCTTCTGCAGCATGCTTCCAACGGATGTTTATCATTCGCCCTACTTTGGCAACGAGGCCACGGGGAACAGCAAAGGCAACGCCGAGTTGCCAGCAGCCACAAAACTGGGCCATCCAGCTGCTGGCGGCAATCCGTGGGAGCATACATATATGCCACAAGCATTGGCAACGCTAGTGCCGCCGTCCAGCAAGTATCCCAGTCGAGTTATGTCCACAATTTTACCCGCAACAGCCGATACCTCATTTTATGAAAAGAAACCGCCGAGTAATAATGTTAATATTGATCTGGAAGTGGAGAGTGCAGCACATGCTGAATCCATGCCATTGTTTAGGCCCAACAACAACAACAACAACAGCAGCGGCAACAACAACAACAGCAGCAGCAACCACAACAACAACAATATCTCATTAATATTCTGGAATAACTCCAACAAAGATTCGGCCAACTTTGTGCGTTCCGACTCCATATTGGATGACGATGCATCAACCTCGGATGTGCCCACCGGCTCCTCCATGCACAGCCGCTACGGCCCTATTTGTCCCAAACGCTCGTCGAGTAACTGGCACAACTGGCCCATGGAGAGTGATCCAAACAATAAAAACGAGTTCCTCAGCGACAAAAGCACAACAGCCGGCGAGCTGAACTTTGCAGGATTTGAGCCGAAGCCAGTCTACAAGCCGGAGCACAATGACAACCTCAATGTCAATGCCAATAAGGTAAGTTGTAGCGTTTTTAGTCCCAAATGGTTTTAAATTGGAGCCTTCACAGAACTCAGCTGGACGTGATAGTGTGTACATTTGGAACAACGATCTGAATGCGAATGCAACAAGCCCCTCAAGCAATTATTGGAGCAACAGCAGCGAGCCAGCAGGGTCCCACAACGAAAGACTGAAGCAGCTGGATGGCAAGCCGATGCTGCTCTCCGAGGACAGTTTGGAGGGTGGCATCGATAGCGGCATGATGAGCGAGCTGGAAAAGAATCTAGTTGACATTGTCGAGGTCTGGTCGAATCCGGATGATAGCGGCATAAAGCTGGACTAAGGTCAGACTAAGGATAACAACGTTCGATCGAGTGGAAGCATAATGCAATCATTTTTATCAAAATGTACCCTGGTGGACATTTTACAGGTTTGTACACCGCACAGCTTAAAATTCTAGAATTTCAAGTAACTAATCCTAGCAAATAGTTAAAGTTTGATCATTAATCGATCGGTCCAAGAAGCAGATAAGCAAAAGAAGAAGAAGACGAAGAAGAAAATAACAAATTTGGGTAGGGGAAATTAGAATTTATTATGTAATTATTTAATTGTCTATTTAAAGTGTTGTCGAGCTCTATATATATATATATACATATATAGATCTATATGTCGCATATATATGTTCATTGTTCTATATTGAATTCATGTTCGGGCCAACCGAACTAGTCCGTGTTACGTTTTATTTCGGGTTTAAAATTGATCAGTTAAAGAAAGGAAAGAAGGAAGTTGTTCTACTCGTACATATTGTATAGAATACTTGATGTCTAAACTAGCCACGATCCTTTAGCACAACAATAATATAGATCTAGTTTATAGATATTCAAATTGCTAACAAATTAATGAAAATTATGTACATACATAATTGCCGTAGGTGTTGGGTAGTTGCTCCCCAAAAAAAAAAGATAAATGATAAATGAAAAGATAAAACAGCAGGAAAGGTTCACAAAGTCCGTTAAATGATAAAATCTGGTAAGGGAAAAAGATGTTGAAGCAAGTTTAAAGAGCACTCGACCTGAACTCTATAATGGGTTAAAAGTTTGCACTAGAATTGAATGCCAAAATGCTAAAAACCATCTGTAATTGTTAGACCCAGCTGCATAATGCTGATAATGTATGTAGTTCGAGGTCGGCTCCTGATTTTTATATGGGCAATATATATACGGAATGAATAGGCGTGACAGCTGCTCCTATCAACAATATTGTGTGTTTTGTTTTTGTAACGTTTTTTTTTTTTACATTTTTTTTAAATTATTATCTGTGTATTTGAAATCGAACCGCTATTTTTATATATACACCTAAAAGAGAGTTATATATGAAAAGATATAAGATATGTATATGTACTAGAAAGTTGGGATTTAAGTGTAACCCGCACCTAGGGGGAGGGGAAGGGGAGGGAGGGAGGGGGGGTGGACCCGCATACTTTTGATAATTTATATGTATGTGTGGATGAATGTTTATATTTCTTAAAGAAATTTTAATAACGCTATTGTGCGATGTTGTTAACTATTGTACTATATTATTAAATTTATTGAAAATAAATTAAAATCATGTCCCTATACGTTGTACTCGTTGAACTGTATACTTGCAGCCCTACTATATACTAAACAAATATATTAACGATATATATAGTATATATATATATCTATATATACTATGATTAATGCGCGCGCTCTACTACGTATGTAATACATGCGTTAATATTTTAATTGATATATTAATATTATATATTAATATCAGATGAATCCACGTTTTGCTTGAAGACTTTTTGATTCTAATGCTAACTCAAAATGACTTTTATATATATTTTAAAACAAAAGTCAAAAACCTATCAATCCTACTATCATATACATATAATAGAGCAAAAATAAAGCAGATCGAACGTATACTAAATTCAACTGATCCGATCTGATTGAAAATGTGAATGTGTTATTAAACCGTTGATTAAAATTATAAAACAAATTTGAAAACTATAAGAGAATCCTATGTATATTTAATTATCTCAATTGTTAATGGAAAACATACAAGAGACACAGAGTTCTGTTCTCTTTAGTTAATGCAAGCAATACATACATATGTATTTTTGTTATTTATTAAAATGATATTGTATGTATATGCCAGAAGAAGAAGAAGATGAATAATATGTACCTATGTATGTATTTCCTACATATGTTCAGTAATCGACGCATTAAATAATGTATTATGTAATAAGCAAAGAATTACTGAAAATTGAAACGATCGATATATATATATATGTGAAAACGAATGAGATTTGTAATATTTATATGTAAAGTTCGCTAACCGTTTTGGGTAGAGCTTCATCTCAAGTTCCGCTTAATTTGTGAGTCTCGTTAAGTGCTGTAAAACGATCCACGATCCGCGAAACACGATCCCACCCCGATCCCAGATCCTTTTATCTTTAATCTTTAAAAACCCGCAACCGCTGCGCCAGTCTGTGAAATCCTATTGCGTACTTAAGACACCACCACGTGGGTGGGCAAACGGGAGAATTGTGGTGCAGTTTTAGTCTAAACCCAATGGGTTCATAACTGTGTTGTTGAGTTGAGCTTTTTGTAATCTTATAAATCTATTTTATGTACTTGGAATTCGATCAAAGCAAATGCGGATTTCGAATTCCAAGCGCAAATCATCTAAATTTTCTATATATATATATATATACACACACTATACATATTATATGTATTATATTTAATACACGTATTTTTTGTATTATTACTAAATGTTAATTTTTAAGTTATTTCAATTAACCCTCCCAAAAAAAAAAAACCACAAAAAAACAATTTATTTATTTTATTTTGCCAATAAATTTTTCAATTAAATTTCAGTTTTGTTTTTAATTAAGTTTATATTGAAATGATATATGTTATATCTTAAACGTGTGCAACATATCAGAGTCGATTTACTCGCAGCAAATTGAAACTTAGAAACTTACACGATACCACCACCCACTAAAAGAAAAAAACAAAAACAAAAACGAAATACCACCCGAAGTTAACTATGGTTAAGTAAACAGTAACTAGTTATGGACAATCGACCTAAAGTTCTGAGACACATTCTCAACTCAAGTTATATATATACTATATAGAAATATATTAATATTAGAATACTTACAAATTATAAATGTATATAGAGATATGCCTATCTATTTGATATAGACGCTTCTGTTCCTTGTGACTAGGTTTAGTGAAGTTCAACAAAATAACGAATAGTACTCACGAATGTCTGAATACATTCGAATACCAAATAGCTGGCAATAGTTTACTCGAAGTCTCTGTGTAATAGATACATTGTTGATTAAATACAAGTGCTTCATAACCAGGCGCTTCTTTCAATTGGCCAAGTGACTTACAATAGTTTATATCTCTCGTTAACACACAAATATCTCTTCCATCCTAACGCATCAAATGTGTTAAGGCGCGGACAATACCAAAACAACCAAAAGAAAAAGCAACATTTTCATGCTTCTCCAGATGCCCAGCTCTACAGATAGGAAACCAAGTGAAGGAGGAATACAAGAAAATGTCCACTCGAACGTATTTGAATATGTATGTACAAAAATGATATTCAGCGATGAGAAAAAATTTGTGTTATTTGTTGGAGATTCTTAAATTGTGATGATGTGAAATTAACAGTTAACATATGAACTACTCCCAGTTTAATGGGAACAAACAAATGTCTTTATATTTCCATAGATATGTACTTATTATTATAATAATAATCTTAACTAACAACTAATGTATACACACACAATTATGCATACATACGAGCTAAATAACCGAACTTAACAAAAATAGTAAAACTAATTCAATCAAATCAAATATTGTTTCAAATTTTATCTACAATATATATCACTGGCACAGTCTTGTATCTGACAGATACTTTAGATACTTTTCGTGCCAGAGTCCTCAAAAATTGTTGGCAACATCAACTCAATTATGTATGTACTTTTTATGTGTGCTGAATTTTCTTCAAAATTCATTATAAATGTATTAGAAATTGAAAGAAAACAAAAAACAAAAACCATTTAATGTGTGTGTGAGAATTCTCAATAAAGGTTATTAAACGATTTTGTGCTTGAATATAATCTTAATCTTCCTTTTTGCAGAAGCCATTCCAATTTATGGAAAGCTCTTAAATTTACAAAATATTCTGGAAATTATCATTCGAGTCTTTACCTTAAGATATTAAATTTGAAGCTAATTAAAGTTCTTTTAAATCTTCGCTTTTATTATGTCTTAAGCTAAGTCTACATCTTCAACTTCTGATTATGAAAGATCATATATTATTACTGAAGATTTTGTTTAGATTTTAGTTTTTAGCAACATTATTTATCTATTTATTTAATGCATTTAATCTTTTTTAAAATTTGTATGTACTGAAAAAGTATCAGTATATAAATGGAATATATATTCCATATGAAGATTTGGTTTAGAAATCAGTTTTTAGCAAAATTAATTATTTATTTATTTAATGCAATTAATCTGTATTAAAACTTTTATGTGGGGTGAAAGATTATCAGTATATAAATAATATATTATTTATATATTTTATATATAATAAAGTCAAATGCCAACGATTTCTTTTAATTTGTCTCCCCATAAGCTCAATTTAAATTTTCGCTTTAAGCTAATGTCATTTGAGCATAGTCGCACCATCAATTGTGGTTTGACTGGGCTTCTGTGGTTGATTATGAGAGAGATCTGAAAAGGTATCAGGTGGAGGAGAGGTTAGCGCAATTAACAAGTCTAGAAGTTGATAAAAAATTAACCGTATTTTATTCCGCTGAAATGCACTTTAAGCCCAGTTAACAAAAAGATTTGCTGTTGGTGATATTTTTTAATCTTGAAGCACAGGCTTCCACATGACGGGCATGTCTAGTTCCTCCATTTCGCCCACGTCCAGCTTCCAGACGCTGCCATTTTGGCCCTGTTCGATGACCTTGACCATATTTCTGGCACAGACCTCCGGTGGCTGACGCTTTACCTTGGGTATAATTTTTCTCATCGGTGTCTCAAACGAAAATGTTGTCTTGTCCAGCATATCAGCCAGCAGGGGCGTGTCCGTGAAGCCCGGACAGATGGTGATAAAGCCGACGCCAGTGCGTGCATAGTAAGCGGGATCCTGTCAAGAAATTGAGGATTAGTAAGCAGTTGGAGTGTGAATTTCTCGATACGCACCGCCAGTCCACGTGTGAATGCGGTGACGCCATGCTTGGCCGCCGAATAGATGGCCATCGCTGGGGTAGGCTGCAGCCCAGCCACGGATGAGATGTTTACCAAGAGTCCGCCCCGGCCGCCCTTGGTCTGATCCATGTGCTCCAAGGCCAACAAAGAGCTGTTGATCAAGCCCAGCTGGAATGAAATGTAATGACCGTCTGCACCACCAATTAAAGGCACTTGGCGTACCCACCAGATTGATTTGTATGGTCAGCTCCACGAAGTGGTCGTTCATCAGGCCCATGCCATTGACGACCAGATCAAAGTGTTGCAAACGTGCGGCGGCCGCTTTGTAGGCAGCCTCGAGCTCTGGTTTTTGGGTTATGTCCACTTTTTGGTAGAAGATCTCGGTACTTGGATACTTTGCCTGCCAATCCCCCAAGAGCTGCCCATTCAGCGCCAGATCGAATACGGCCAACGCCTATAAAGTCAACCAAAAGTCGATCAGCCCAAATTGAAAACTCGTCTCAGCCAGAAGCAGAACCTAACCTTCAGCTGGCGTTCGAGCAGCTCTGCGCACACTTTTTGGCCAATTCCGCCAAAGCCACCGAGGTAAACCACATTTTTACCAGCCAAGTCCATTTTCGCTTTAATAATTCAACTTGTTCTCGGTCCGACGTTTGGTTTTCAACTGATCGCAGATCAGGCGACTACCCCGAGTCATTGATCGCTTGCACTGTTTATCAGTCCGTGTTGGTGCAATTATCAGCGGCGACACAAGTCTCTTCTGATACCCTGTATTTATATATATTTATTTAAATTAATTTAACATCTGGAAGAGGGCGTGCTTTTTTAATCTCATACATTCTATATATAACAGAGTTCGCAAATAACAGTCGGGTTGTCTGCAAAATAACAGTTTTTGTCGGACAGCATGAATAAGGGAGAAAGAAAACACACAAAGTTCTGTTTCTCTAGGCACGAGCCATTGCGCGTCGACGCACTGATACCCTTATTTATATTAATGGTGTATAATGTTTAAAGAAACTTATTATTTTTGATTGTAATAATAGTTGCACAGTTAATACGAAATTATATTTTAATTAGACATTGGATACAAATTGTATGTGAGAAGGTTTGTGCTATTTAGTTACAGCGCTGATCAATAGTTAAAATAGCCTATTTGGAGAAAGGGTGCTTTGCAAAATCATACAAGAAGAAGAAGACATGACTTTGGGACTTTGCGAATTATAGGCATAGCGGTGCTTAGAAACCACAACAATGAGTTAGAAGAGTGCAGAAGCTAAGATCATAGGCTGTAGCCTCAAACCAAAAAGGGATAACAGTCTTTCGATTCAAACTGAATTAAATTTCAATTTTGTTATTCATGAAAGATATTTGCATTGAGAATATAAAGCTGGCAAGCAAAGATAAACAGATCCCGAGGATCTCGGCCATATCTTTAAGGATCCGCTTGTCATCTCAATTTAGGATGTATAGGTAATCAGGTTACAGGGTATCCGTTAGTCTGTTTATGTACTCTTGTTCAGATGTGGGTGTGATTATCAAGAGTTCAGTGCCTTCCACTGTGGAGCATTAACTTCTCTGCAGGAAATGAGTAATAAAAGTTAATATAAAGATATCACAGCATCTACTTCGAGGGTTGAGGACCCCCGTCTAGATTTTCAAAATGTTAATCTTGGTGCTCCAACAATAAACTTTGACCAATTTTATCTATATGACATAATCATATGTTAGCCCACTTCTTGAGATAAACAATGGAAGAGGTATCTCTAAAGATGAGCGACATGGACTTCTTTCATTTGTGATCAAATTTTATTAATATTATTATTAGCAGCATGTTGTCTAGTTATAAACTATCAACCTAACCTCTATGTTCTTACCACTGGCTGCTATTATCTTCCTCTAAAATAGCCCCACATCGCCTAGGATTTGAACCCGGATCCTTCATGTTTGTTTGCCTGGTCACTTTCAGCAAAGGGACTGTCATTCCCTTGTGCTGAACCCCAAACAAATTTAGTTCGGAGACATCTACTTGGAAAATTGTATCGGGGTCTCAGGCAATGAACAAGAAAAGATGCCGGTTCAAATCACAGGCTAAAGTACAGATGTTAAGGTCTTTAAGCCGAAGGTCTAGGGCTATGTAAAGTGTTCGATTCATGGGTATACGAATAATAATTATAATTTTTATTCTCAGTAACATTTGTTAGGCCAAAGTCTTGCTTTCATTTTCTACGGCTATAAAGGCGTCATATATTTTTTCTTATCAGTAATCTAATCGCTTTGCATCTGGCAGTAAACAAAGTGCTGAGCACTCCAAATGTGAAGAACATAAGCACTATTTGGGTTAATTTAATGGATTGATCTCACTTGGGTGGCGCTCACCGGAACTCAACTATGCGAATGGGAAGCCCCACGCGGCGTCGTAAGTGCGTGGGCCAATTGCGCAATCGGCTCGGCTGTATCCGTATCCATGTGCAGGCAATATCAATATTAAGTTCACTATTACAAAACAGCCAAAGCCAAAGCCGCTGCAGCTGGTGGTTTGTAAGCCGATCCGCTGGAGACGCGATTTTGGAGGTCAGGCGCAGATTTTGCCGCCTTGGGTTACACACATCGGTGGGCATTCATGGCTGCTATAAATAATCACAACGTGGCCACAGCAGCAACAGTTCCACATAGCCAACTACCTTGACTAGCTCGCCAGGATGCAGTGCTTCATTTGGTTCATAGGCACAGCCGCGTTGTGGAGCGTCGCAGCGGGCGCTAAGTCGAGACCCATTCTTGGCATCGCCCCGCGTGGCTATCAGGAGCAGGATACGGCGCGTGCCTTCTACTCGTACGGCTACAGCGATGAGAATGCGGCGCGAGCGGAGTACACAGCACGCGATGGCTCCTCGCGCGGCTTCTACTCGTATGTGGACGCCAATGGCAAGCTGCAGACGGTCAAGTACGAGGCGGGCGGTCGGCAGGGCTTCAAGGCGGAGGCCAGCAATCTGCCCAAGCAGCCCGTCGACGACAAGAAGCCGGTGACGGACACGGCGGAGGTGCAGCAGGCGCGCCAGGCACATCTCAGCGCCATACGCGAGGCACAGGACAGGGAGCGGGCGGTGGCGGAACGGGCGCAGCAAAACGAGGAGCAGCCGCTAAGCGACGAGGATGCGGACATACTGGAACGTGTGCGCGCAGAGCTGACAGCCATGCTGGCGGAGCGGCAGCGAGGCGAGGAAGATCGCGAAGCCGACGCCGCAAGCGAGGCTGCAAATCAGGCGGAGAACAGGGAAAGGGAGCGGGAAAGGGAGCGGGAACGGGAACGGGTGCGGGATCAGGAACAGGCACGCCCACGTGATTCCAACGATCTGCGGCTGCGCACGGTCTACCGCCTGGCAGACATCAGTTCCAGCAGCTACCTGAAGCTAAGCGATCTCGAGGATCGTCTGGGTAACACCTATTATTCCTACGTCTCGCCCGATGCCAAATACAGCGTGACCACGCCCACCGAGCTGAGAAGCTTGCGTCCCGTGGCGCTCAGTCGCAGCCTCGTTTTGAGCAAGCGGAACTAGAGATGTCTATGGAAGATTTGTTGAATCCTGGTTGGAATTAAGTTGAACGTACTCTTAAGAATAAATGCATTCTGTGCACCATAGTGCCAAATCCTTGGACTTGTAGCAGCATCAAGGCGGGGGATTTGAGAGTGCGGATGTGGACCCTCAAATATCCTATATTGACATAGGTCAAAACTTTCCACTCTCATAACTCGTTCAAAACTTAACCGATTTTCATAAAATTTGGCTTTTTGTTCATGGTTTGGCCTGTAAATCAATTTGGCATCCAAAACTAAGAACATTATTTTTGGTCAAAATTCATGTGATGAAATGGTTCCCTCAAATATCTTATATAGTCATAGGTCGCAATTTCCCACCCCCATAACTTGGTCAAATCTCATCCGATTTTCATAAAGTTTGGCTTTTTGTTAATGGTTTAGCCTCTTAATAAATGTGGCATCTAAATCTGGCAACATTATTTTTGGTCGAAATTCATATAAAAATAGTACCCTCAAATATCCTATATAGACATAGGTCGAAATTTCCCACCCTCATAACATGGTCAAAACTTAACCGATTTTCATAAAGTTTGGCTTTTTGTTTATGGTTTGAATAATGTATCTCTTATTTCATGGCTCTAGAATAAAATATGGGAGTATTTTTTTGGTCCGGATTCATGTACAATTTTACCCTCTTAAATCCTATATAGACATAGGTCATAACTCGCTCAAAACTCAACCGATTTTCATAATGTTTAGCTTTTTGCTCATGGTTTTGCATCTAGATTAATTTTGTATCCAAATCTGGCAACATTATTTTTGGTCGAAACTCACCTCAAATATCTTATATAGACATAGGTCGAAATTTCCAACTCCCATATTTTGGTCAAAACACAACCGATTTTAACAAATGGAAAGGAGGCTTCATAAATTCATTAGGTGGTTAGGGACTTTGTCCCGGAGGACGGTTATTAACTTAATATTCTAAGTGTGTAAATCCTTTTAAATCCTGCCAAATTGGCTGACTACAGCTCTAAAACTGTGGGAGACATTGATTTTTACAATGCATCCAAGTAAACATGAGCTAATATCAAAACAAATATACTCCTTTTCATTTTGCGAACAGGGTATATTAAAATTTTAGAGCTTTTACGTTTTATCAAGTCTGTGAACCCATCAAGAAATTTGGGTGGATCGGTTGACAGTTGAAAGTAATGCTCTTCAGGTAGAAAGTTGTGCCAAGTCAATCGAGAGAGAATATTTTGAGAGTCTTCTCTTGCTTCGACTTGCTTTGTTCCCTTTCCCAACCAAGAAACAATAGATATTACTTATTTTTATACCCTGAACTCATTGAGAATGGGTAAAAAGGGTATAATGTATTTGAGGAAATGTATTTAACAGGCAGATGGAAGCATCTCCGACCCCATAAAGTATATACATATTCTTGATCAGCATCAACAGCCGAGTCTATCTAGCCATGTCCGTCTTTCTGTCCGTCCATCCGTCTGTCTGTCCGTATGTATGAACTCAAGGATCTCAGAGCCTATAAGAGCTAGAGACTTGAAATTTTGAACGTAGGTTCTCCTAGTGCCCGCGCAGTAACGTTTGTTTCCGATAACCGATAACTTGCCCCGTGTCCAAGTAATCGATAAATATCGATATCGAAGTTCTGTTTTTTGAGCAAATTTGCTAAATAATAAGAGACTAGTTTTTTTTCCAAAATTTAATTTTTATTGTTTAACAGAAACCAAAACAAGAGAATCAAACGTTTGCGACATTGGAGCTCAAGCCACTGGCAGATAGTCACGCGCGGGCGAGCCAGCCTTCAGCAGGGAGTTGTACTTGTAAATGTAGCCACTCGCGGGCTGGTAGACATAAAGTGGCTGCGACAGAATGTTGTGACTGTGCCCAGCTGCAGATTTGGTCGTGGTCGCGACCTTGTTCAGCTGATTGCGCAACTTCTCCGCCTCGAAGCGCTTGAAGAAGGCAACTTTGGCGGCGGCCACCTCGGGCGTATCCTGTACAGTGCCGCTCAAACCGTCGCCGCCAGCCAGACGCAGCTTGGCCTCCGCATGGGCAGCCAGATGCTGGGCACGCAGCGCAGCCACCTCGGCTGTCTCCTCGTTGGGTCGCAGCTGCTGCTGCTGCTGCTGCAGGCTGCTGGCCGTGACGCGAAAGCCATTGGCATCCGCCTGATAGTTGACCGTCTGCTGCTCGCCCCTGGCATCCACATAGGAGTAGGAGCCGTGTGTGACGCCATCCGCTGTGCGTGTCTCGTGCTTGGAGTAGAGCGGCGCCGTATATCCGTAGGCATACTGTCCATGCTCATCCTGGCTGTGGTATTGGCTGAAGGTGCCCGCCGCCGGCGGAGCGCCATAATCCAGCAGGGCTGCCGAGCGCGCCAGTGTGGCTCCCAGAAGCAGGCAAAGATTAAGACAGAAGCTGATCGAGTGCATCTTTTCTTCTTTTTTTATGTGTATTTTTTTGGTGGGTTTCTTGTGTGGCGCTGCTAGTGTCGTGGACTAGTACTCGCTCCAGAGAACTCTGTGCGTGACGATGGCGCGATTCTGCTTTTTATAGGCAACCGGCGAGGCGAGGCGAGGCGAGGCGCCTCCTTGGCTCAGAGCGCGACGCAGTTGCCAAAAATTTGCAATATCGTGCGTTCTTCGGGAAGGTCGTCCAGTTTACTTTCATATTCCCTGTTTGTTGTTGTCTGTTTGTTGTTGCAAGCTGGCGCTCTTCCTCTTGGCTCTGTTTGTACATAAATATTTTGTCGATTTCAACAAGTTGAGCATAAATTTGTACACAAAAGCCGCAATTTGTTTTCATCTGTCAGTGGACAGGGGACGCGCTGCCCCAGCGCAAACCCAAGAACTTAATCAGGCCAGCTCTTGTCTCTCTCTCTCTCTGTCTCTCTGTGTGTCCTAAGGTCAAGGAACCATCTGTGGCTACCTTTTGATATGTTGTTTATGCCGCTATTAAATTTAATTGAAATCAAAATTCGCAATGCTGTTTGGATGAGCTGCTAAAAGGCCTCCGAAGTAAACACGCACAGCGGGTTTCTTACTCAATGGACGCGGATATTGACGAATTAACAGCTGCTGACAGAGTGGAAAACCAAAAGGTAGCCGAAGAGCACGTCTTCTCAAATTAACTACCGATATTATAAACAGCAAAATAAAGGAACTAGATGGGACATCTGATCATAAGATCTCGAACTAAACACACAATCATTACCTAACTGGATCTTTGTTGGAAGCAGTCGAGAGGAATCCTGGCTTGTTCCTTGTTTTCGTGGATATCAAGAGATCCCATTTGGATGCCTATCACAGCTCGTCCTGAGCTAATCAACGCACTGCCTCGTACGGAGCTAGGAAGCTGATATTTGTACTGTGGTGAAAATGTGCGCTGAAATTCCACCCGCAAGCGTGAAAAAATCGTGAAAAACAGTTGCTTAAAACTTTTTTGTTTACCATTCGATTCGCTTGGAACTCACTTTCAAAGATATTTGTGAAAATTGAACTCATTTTCAAAGATATTTGTGAAAATTCCTTTGAGAAGTGTTTCACACTTTCCGCCAAATCCACCCGCTTGGGTGAATATGGAGGTCAATGTTTGTTTGAGTGAAATTTAAATGTTCGGGCTTTTTGCTTGTTTTATTTTGTGTAGTATAAAGTTGTTGCACTTTTAAGTGTCTCAATCGATAGGCGTAAAATATAATAATATTAAACTTCTCACGAGCGGAAAATGGGTGGAAAAGAAATATGTAAACCTTAACCCGGCCAAAGGCTTAGGAAGAAGGAAAAGTTTCCTCCCACAGCATCCAGATCTTTAAAAGAAATTGGTCAAACTACAAGCTGTTTAGTCTCAAATCTCTTTATTAGCTCTCGGCTAGATTACAAAGTTCCGTTTTAATAGTAGTAGTAGCGTGGAATGGTGTAGCCATAGACCGACTGCACGGGCAGAATGACATGGGAGCTGCGGGCAACTGGAGCCGAGCGAGCGCTAAGGAGCTCGTTGCGCAGCTTCTCGGAGGCGACACGCTTCAGGTGAATGGACTTGGCAGCGGCCACCTCGGCTGTGTCGGCAACGGGAACAGGCAGGTCCAGATCTGTTGGTTGGCTGTTGGACTGCTGAGCCTGCGCCAGACGCAGTCGAGCCGCCTCATGAGCCGCCAAATGGCTCTGACCGGCGGCGGCAACTTCGACGGCGTCAGCTGAATTGTCGGCAGCAGCGGCAGCTGCAGCAGTGGAAATGTCTGAGCCGGCGCTGCGGGCGTCGCCAGCTGGCGAGCTTGGCGCACGAAAGTGCCGCTGCGGCAAATTGGTGGCTGCCACATGGAAACCCTTCGCATCGGCCGTATAGTCAACAGTTTGCAGCTTGCCCGCGGCATCGCGATAGCTGTAGCTGCCGCGCGTGATCCCATCGAGGCTGCGCACCTCCTGCTTGCTGGAATGCGGCTCGGCATAGCCGTAGGCATACTGCCCAAGCACATCCTGCGTCATATACTGCTGCTGTGTGGGCGTAACCAGAGCGGAGCCCTGCGCCGTATACACATACGGATAGTTGGCATACAGCGCCATGCCCTGAGCCAGCGCCAAGCTGCAGGCGATCAGCGTGACCAATAGAAATTGCATGTTGACTTTTGTAGTTTGTAGTTGGAGTCGGAGCTGGAGCTGGAGCTGGGTGTGTGTTGTTACTGCATTTGGCTAGCTAGTGCCGCGTCCTTTTATACCAAAAATGTTGCACGTTCTGCAGGTTCTGGTTCTCGTCCGCATGTGGCCTCCCCCTCCCCCACCCCCCTGCTCGTAACGAGCTGAGGAACAACTGACGTCTGTCCACTTGCATCTGGCTGTGATCGTTAACGGCAACTGCAACCAACTGTGGCTTAATTGTGGCCAGGGCTTAATGACTGCACATGTGGATAGCATCTAAAGAGGCACAACACTTTAGACCTAGGCCAAAACAGTTTCTTATCGCAGCAGAGTTGAGGCTGTGGAGGAAGCGAGATCAAGGCCACGACCACGAACTGGAGGAACGCATCTGTGCAGGACAAGACAAATGTAAACCATATTCAATTGTTATACCCTGTGGCCAAACCAGGTGAGTGAAAGCGGGCATGCCAAGCTGGGGGTAAGGTATGTAAGCGACAAAAGAAGGGTTTATTTATTGAATATAAAATATATTTATTAATTTATATGAAATTTCTAATCTTTATATATGTCAGCCAGAAAAGAACTAATTTCATGAAAAGTTCAAAATTTAATACAAGCTATAGAATATGACATATCGAAGTCGTGCCCAACTGTAAGGATTTATAGCTATATCTGACTATGATTTCTTTAACAACTTAAAAGTTGTTAGTCGTTCCTATGGAAGCTATTTGATAAGATAAGTAAGCCCATCTGTCGAACCTTGACATATGTAAGACCTGCAAGTATGCCAAGTTTCAGCAAGATAAGTTGCAAGCTGATAGAGGCCTTTTCCTGATCAAGAATATCTATACTTTATATATACTGTAGAGCGTCGGAATGTCGAAATTTCGTGATAAAATAAAAATAAATAACACTGAAAAGTATGGAAACAAGGTAAGGTCACTGCGGAGTATATATATGTATATATATAAGTCAGATCTTTTTATCGGATACATAATAATCCATCTCTTAACTATTTTAAAAGTTCCGACTGTAAACACAGCTATTACATCTCACTGCACTCTGGTATAGCCTTTTTATTTTGGATAAAAAATAATTAATCCTTATTTGTATTATAAACAAATTTTTGGTTTTTGATATTCTCTAAACTAAAGTATATTCATGGTTTTTGTGCAGGGTAGTTGTTGGTACGGCAGGATAATACGGGAGGCTTTTGTGTATCACAAGCTGTTGAAATTTCTTAAGCATTCAGGGTAGAAAGTTTTGAAAATCTTCACAACCATAGCTAGTAAATAGTCTATATTTAAAGTCTGCAAAGATCTTATAACATCTGTTTTTATTTATTTATTTCATTTTATATTTTATTATTTTTATTTTATTTATTTTTCTTTCTTTATTGAAATTATTTGTATTTTATTTATTTTTACTATTTTTGTCGACATTGACATTTCTTTTACTTTTTACTTTTACTTTTACTTTTCAAACAGGGTATCTGCTAGTCAGGCAAGCTTACTTGCTGTCACTGTTATTGTTATTGCTGTTGCCGCATTCAAGTGGCATTTTGTGTCCGTCTTTAACTGCAACTGCAACTGCAACTGCAACTGCGACTGCTGTAACTGATTTAAGATGCGGCTCGCGTTGCCTTTTCCAAACAGAGGGCCGCAACGGCATTTCAAGGTGAGTGAAGGCCAAGGGCCACATTTGTCCAGCTCGGGCCGCGCTTCAGGCCTGGCCTGGCCAAGGCCTTAATCGCCGCAATCCCAAATTGGAATTTGGTTTTATTTTTAGCCACATTATCCGGCCACGCATCGCAGCGCAGCGCAGCGCAGCGCAGCGCAAGTCGAGCGTCTGATTAGGATTGATAGCATTGGCCAAATAGAGTCATACTCGGGAGTTGCCCTTGACTCTGCGGCTATTTACAGCTCACAGCTGGATTGATAAGTGCATTTTAATATCGTCGTCTCTCTCTCTCTCTCCAGCCCAGCTTCACACTTGCTCTCAATCAAAGTCCAGAGCTGCGGCCCCATAATTTGCCAGAATGGCCACCTTAATGATCTTGTTAGTCCAAGTGCCTCAGTGCCCCGGCCTGGCCTGGACGTCTTTTGTGGCCAGTTGTCCAATTCACTTTAAATTCCTGTCTCCAACTGGAACAGCTTTGGCTTCGGTTGTTTGCTTTGCAAATTCCTGGCCGCAACTGGAGCTCCGCTCTGGCATCCATTTGATTTTGTCGTGGGCCGTCGCCGCGCTGATTTGTGCATCATTAGGTCTAGAAATTCAGGGCTAATTACTTATCAGCCGGGACACACCTTCGCGTAGCCGGTTTTGCTTTGATTAAGTCAACTTTGCTTGCGCTGTGCTTTGTTTTGCTATACTCTTATTGGAGGGTATTATAAATTTAACAGAAAGTATGTTGTGCATATTTCTCAACTTTATTTATGTATACTGAGAAAACTGGGTACATTTGCATAGTTTTTATTATTTTTTTATATTATTAAATTCTTTTTACTATAAAGTCGAATTAGAAGTCAAATGTGGAGACAATTCTTCGATAATTGAATTGTTATTTAAGAACAAATTTTCTTTTAGGCAAATTTCTTATAGAAGAATGAGTCCTACAGTTCGATAAGGTCTACTATAATATTAAGCTACCATTTAACAAAACACTTGTCGCTTTGGTATTTGTGCTAAAATCGTGTTTTTTTCTAATACTGTTTTATGATATTTTGTGTCAAGATAAGTGTGCAGTAATATAATTAGTTACCTGAAAATGTATTCAATCTTTGGCAGCCCATATCAACATTTTATGCCCAAGATAACCTAATCAAATGCGAAGCAGACACCTCTGACATCATATAAAGAATATATATGGTATATATCTGTATTCTTGAAAAATATTAACAGCTGAGCAGATAAATAAACATTTTCGTCTGTTTGTTTCCATGCAAACTACTCTCTCACTCTTAAAATGCATAAACTTAATTTGGAACCGGATCGAAAAATTATATCATGTATCTAACATAGAAGTTGTTGTTTGAAAATTTAGTCTTTATATGAAAATTCTTTTGAAAAGATATCTATCTTAATCAAAAGTTGACAATTATTAGCTTTATTATGCTCCTCAGAAATTACGAAAAATCGTAGTTGAATCGGTTCACTATATCATATAGCTACCATAGCAATGATTGCCCCAAATTTAGTTTTTGTTTGAAAAACTTTTTTGTTTTTCAAGGTAACTAAACTGGAAATTTACTAGTTTATTGTACTCCCTGCAAATAAACATAATCTTAGCACTATATAGTTAAGCTGCCATCGAAATTAACGACCAAAATTTAGTTTTTATTTGAAAAACTTTTTTGTTTTTCAAGATATCTTAACCAAACTCAGGAATTAGGCACATTATTATGCTTTTAAGCTGCAACCGAAATCTCTTTACTATCGGACTGATATATCCTTAGTTCTATGGGAACAATCGATCTAGAATGGGGTTATTTATAAGAACTTCATTATATGGCTAAGTATATATGTATGTATTTGGAGTGTCAGGGTAACTAAACTTCGGCAATTCGCAGCTAACAATTTCCTCTTGTTTTTTAACGTTCTTTCGCCTGATTTTGTTGTCGTTTCTGCCCTGTATGACGCCATCGCAGGCCTTTGGCCACAATAGTAGCCAATTATGTGAGTGACAGGCCGCATATAAATCACGGTCCCATTCGGAGGTTAGACTGTGTATTAAACTAAACAAATTTTGTTGCTTAGACAGCGGCATAGGTAAACACGCTTAAGGTGTTTGATTAACTTTTCCTGCTGCTTAATTTCCCATATATTCCAGGTTCAAAAAACTCATTTTTTCCGTCCGAAAACCAAAACTATTTTTGGTCTAGTAATCGTTGGAACTCACACAAAAAGTCATTTGCATATGAAAAACATACGAGACCTTTGCCACTGTCATCGAGTGAGTAGCTGCCCTCCCTCCCCCCCCAACTATGAGCTCATTCGGTTAGTTAGCACAGGTTGAGCCCCGCCTCTTTCAGCATAATAACGCCCTTCCCCCCTCCCACCCCACCCCTTCGATCTAAGTGCGTCTCGCACTTGTTGTGTTTTGTTTGTTGTCAAATTTCACGCATCGTTTTCTATTTCGTTGACGAGCATTCAAATTGACGGCTGTCCCCCCTCTGCCGCCCCTCTTAACGCCCCTCGTCTGCTGCCAAAGCTCACTCGAGCCGAGAGCTTTTGGCATTTCGCACTCAAAACAAACGGAAATTCGAGTGGAATTTTAGTTGCCTTATCAACGGGCGTCACTTTTTTTGATAAATGGTTTTTTGTTTCTCTTCGCCTCTTTACGCTCAACTTTTTGTTGTTAGTTTTGCTGCGTGTGTGTCTTTTTGTTTTGGCATTTATAAATTTTGTCTTAAGTCAAATGAAGTCATCGCATTAAAATATATTTTATATATACATATGTATTCCCTGCGGGCCAGAACTTAGTTAGCTTGGCCTGGCTCGGAGCTGGAGCGGAGCGTGTTGTATGCCATGATTTATGAGGTACATTTTCGCCTGTAAAATTCAACAGTTTTGTTTTGTTTAATTTTGTTGTTTTGCTGCAAAGAGTTTGCTTGGAAATTGCGCTCGCTGAAAGCTCACTCAATACACACACACTAAAGAAAAATATCACTCATACGCCGCTTGTGCTTTGGCCCCCGTTCGGCGCTGGCTGCGCATTTAACCAAAAACAGTTGAGTCTCAACAGCGACAGCAAACGCGCGCAGCACCGCAAACATTTCGAAAAAATCGTAAACATTTTCAAAAAAACTCAAAACATATTCAAGAAAATATATTAATTTTTGTACATTTTTTGCGTCTAAAATAATGTAAGTTTTAAAGTGTTTAAGCTCTGCTGCCTGGCTGGGAATTATAATAAAATTACTCTCCTTCAAAGTGCCACACACACTCACACACACACACACACACACACATACAACAACAGCATCGCGTTTAATCTCTGCCACCGACAACAACATTTCAACGGGCCTTTGTGGAAATTTCAAGTGCTGCATGACCCATTTTGTCTGCTCCAAAATAGAAAATCGCTGCAGCTCCAGTTTTTCTTTTTTTCACTTTTTTTTCAATATATAACAATGCGTTATATGCGTAGCATCGTTTTAGGCGCATTTCCCACTACCCCTCCCCATTCCACCGTTAACTTCCGTTTGTATGTATGCGGCGCTTGCGCGTTCCTGTGCTCCTGCTCCTGCAGGGTCTGGGCAGGCAGCGTGATGTCATTTAGAAGCTGCCGCTGCTGCTGCTGCTGCTGCCTGCCATATCATCGTGTGTATACTTGTAAAAATGTGATGCATATGTGCTTGAGCAGACCTTGGGGCTTTGTTGTGCCTGTTCCCCCTGCTCAACTTTTTGTATTTGGTATTGTATTGCGTGCTTGTGCGACACCCTTCCCAGCAAGCCCCCCCCCCCCCCCTCCGCCAGCCCTGCTGTGTATTGCGCTTCCTGTTTAAATTGCTTCACACATTTAATTTATGCAGCGCCTAATATTTTATATACTTATCGTATTATATATATATTGAGGCAGTCGCGCATATTGTGACCTAAATATTTCATTTACATTTCCATCTTTCCCTATATGATGCATAATGCATATAATCTGTTTGTACTCGCTACAAACTGGTAAAAATAAGGGTATAGAATATTCACCTTGGAATACTTTTTTCCCCACTTTTCCAAAAGCTTTGGTATATACATAAAAATATCAATTCATCTGTAATCCCACAAAATTTTATAGACATTAGACAACGAACTCAAAAGTTATTTAAGAATTCAAATGTATAGCTTAGGGGACCAGGGGAAGAAGAGGCACTGCCTCTGTTGACTACGCAGTATCTTTTAGTCGGACACCCTTTTCTAGCGTCCGCTCACTTGTTACTTCTTAAAATTTGGAAAAATCTAAATACAATTTTGGCTTGGCCACGCGCTCTGTCACGAAACGAGATGCGGATGTCGAGAGATGAACAAAACAATTTATATAGTCATCCATGTGGTCATATATATTTAAAGTGTATATGTATACATGTGTATATGTGTGTGTGTGTGTGTGTGTGTGTGTGTGTGTATTAATGATCTCGGCAGCGGCAAAGCGGATTATGAGGTATCTTTTGCACGGCTCCGGCAACTAGCCACGTTTCTTGCCCAACCGCCAGACTGTCTGAACTTTTGCTTGCGGCTCTTGCGCCTTTTGTCATGTTTTTTCTGGTTTGTTTTTTATGTATTTATGGTTTCCAATTACCGGAATACAAAAGGGCTGCAAAGCCAATATATATCGATGGGCGTGCCGCACACGCAGTCTTATACGCTGTCTTATAATTAGTTTTAACACTTGACATTTGCGGAGCTGGAAAACATATAGAGGACATTTACCTACAAGAAGGCAGCCTAGATGGTACAGTGAAAACTCCCTTGAGGAACGGGAGAAGGGAAAATATGTATCCCTTCTTACCCATTTTCAATATACATAGGGTATATAAATATTTCTTCGAATTAAGATTAAGTCCGTTGCTCTCTCTAGGGAGTTGTACATTACTCGAGGCTCCACTGTAGCTAGCTATCGTTCACTTCTATGATTTCACAAATGCATCTCTATATTTGCTTTGTTTGCCTCACCCAAAACCAAACCCCAAGCGACGTAATTGCTACGCGTAATGACGATGACATAAGCGATACGATTAAGTCGACCCCTTTAACCCCTGTACCCATATATATATATATATATAGTATATATTAGATGTACACACTTGCGGCAAATAGTTGTCGATATGATCACATTTGTTACGCTCCACGGGTCGCTGCATTCTGTGGGATCTGAGCGCAACCTTGACCCAGGCAATCTTATCGCCAGCTCGTCGCATTCAATTACCTGGATATGTTTGTTGTCCAATAACTGGTTGCCTTCCGGGACCTTATCGTGCCTTATGCAGCTCCACAATTGTCTGTCTGCCTCTGTATATATATATATACATATGCCATATAGATTCCAGCCTTAACTGGCGCATAATTAATGATCGGCGCATTGAAAGCTCACGTTTTATTTACTGTTTATGTTCGATTTGTGCGGGCCCAGCTACAAATCTTAACATGCATGTTAAACATGACGACAATTTATGCCATACGCAATCTTAAACACTGAAATATCTACGAGATTTATGCGCTCTTAGCCCCATAATAGGGCTAGAGGGCGAAATAAACGCTATGTGCTTTGGGTTAATTAATGATTGGCAAGCGAAAACCTAGCGTAAGGCCTGTGCCGTTATGTGCGGGCTCTACACTGAGAGAAAAACAGCACAAATTTAGACTTCCAAGGCTAAATTTAGAGGGCTTTTTAAATAAATTCACCCCACTCTGTATAGATGCTCTTTATGCTTCGGTTAAGTCATGATTGGCAAGCGAAAATATATTTTAATTTCTGTGCCTACACTGAGAGAAAAACAGCACAAATTTAGACTTTCAAATTGGAATTTATAAGGCTTTTTAAAGCAATTCGCCCCACTCTCCATTTTCGTCCCTTTTTCTTGTTAAGAAAAAGCAAGTTAATGAATGCTGGCTTTGAACCGGCGATCTTTCGCTTGTCAGTCCGACGCTCGAACTCTTAAGGAGAACATGCTTATGACGTCATAACATAATTATACGGCTGTGTTTTTTTTTATGGTTGTGGAGCTGGAATTTTTTAAAATCAGGTCTTAGTGCTTATTTGCGACTCAAAAGTAAGCTTCGGTAAAAATCTCTTCCTTGTAGCTCTTACAATTTGGGCTATATGTGGATCATTAGCCAGTCAGTACAAACTTTTTTTATATATATAGATGATTTTTTTTATAGAAAACAGAAGTTCTAAAATGTAAAAAATTAGCATCAAATCTCAACCCAAAGTTTTCTTTAAAAACTTAAGTGTAGATCGAGTATAAAGTTAGAAAAAAAGTGGAATTTTGTTGTAGTTGTTAAATAGTTGCTCCACTGTAGGGATACAACTGTTTGTTAATCATGCGATTAGAATTCGAATGGAAGACGCTAATGAGCAAATAATATTGAGCTTGGAGAGCAGCTTTATCGCGTCACTTGAAAGCTAGATCCGAATAACCTTCCGCAGTTAATTAGCGGCCAGCCGCTGTGAAAGCTTCCATTTGGAGCTATTGTCCGCTCGCCACAATGATATCATCGGAATAAAGAATGTGTATATACAGTGTACAGTGTAGTCTGATAAGCTATCTTCATATAGAGATATATACATGCAGGCAGATTGGAATTGAGTAAAGCCATAGCCGATAGTCAGATATAGAAGCCAGAGTCGACGCAATGTTGCCGAGCGTCGTGGCTCACAGGTGAGACAAAGGCATACAAAAACTGGAGCCAGGCAGCAGCTGGATAGATATATGGACCTGATCTTAAATCCCATCTAAAACCCACCGAACTTTGTAGAGCCAACAATATGTCTGAGGCCGGAGCAAATGGCAGCAGCGAGGCACCCGCCGCAGAGCTGGCGCAGCTGGCGCTGGAGGAGACCGCACCGAAGGTCAGCTTTTCGGATCAGTTCAAGGCGTTCTCCAAGTTCGGCGATACCAAGTCCGATGGCAAGCTGATAACGCTATCGCAGAGCGACAAATGGATGAAGCAGGCGAAGGTCTTTGACAAGCAGATCACCACCACCGACACGGGCATCCACTTTAAGAAATTCAAGGCCATGAAAATCACGCTGGCCGACTACAACAAGTTCCTCGAGGATTTGGCCAAAACGAAAAAGGTGGAACTGGCGCAGATCAAGCAAAAAATGGCCGGCTGCGGTGCACCCGGCGTGCTTTCCGTTTCGGTGAGTTAGCTTTTTGCCACTCCAAATCCAACTCCAACTCCAAATCGGATTTTCACATGCGATCTTTTTTCAAAGGCGGGCAAAGCCGCCGCCGCTGTGGACAGGCTGACGGATCCGAGCAAGTATACGGGCTCGCATAAGGAGCGCTTCGATGCCACCGGCAAGGGCAAGGGCATTGCCGGACGCCGAAATCTGGTCGATGATTCCGGCTATGTCAGCGGCTATCAGCACAAGGACACCTACGATGGCGCCCGTTAATATCCTTAGCCTAACCACATTCACACAAACACACACAATTTTCCTGATCTTTGGCTAATTTATTACCCGTTTCTAATGGTAGCACCAGTTAATTTTGTATTTCCTTCATTTTCCCTTCCTTATTACATATAAGTTGTGATTAAGTGCTTAAAAATAAATTTATATTATTTTAAACCTATTTGTTTCATTTTATATTCGTCTTTTTTTTAAATTCTTTCATACGAAACGGCCCAAAAGTTCAAAAACGTTTACACATCAAAATCAAATCCAATTTATATATATATCGCAACAAAATAAAATATATACATTTATAAAATAGAACTTTTTGCGAGCATAGCACAAACTTTTAATAATACACTTTACAAAAGATGAATAATAAATAATACTTATGGCAAAGATATACCAAAGATAAGCTGACACACAAAATTTATGTGTGCCCCAAAATACGTATTTTTATTTTAACTTCAAATAAAGTGAAACATATACAAGTTCTTAAAAGCGTTATATTACTGCAAGCGATTTAAAATTAAATTGTAAGCGTCGAAATTTTGTTCTTTTGAAATCGTTTAGAACATTAAAATATATATAATATATATTTTTTTTAATTTTATAATTCTGAGATACGTAGATACATTGCTTTTAAAATTATTTCATTTATACCAAGTTATGGAACTTGTCAGTTCGTAATTTCTGAGCTCTATAGTCAACATTTCTTATGTGAATGTTGGCCAATAGTTTTATTTTTATTGTGAAATTCAGATATAGAATCGAAGTAAGGTTCAAGCTGAGACCAAAATGCTATCAATAGTTAAAATTGATTTAGTTTTGCCCAAGTTATGAGAGTTTGATATTTCGTAAGGAAGATTTCTACAGAAGATTCATAATAATTACATTTGTGGAACTTTTAATTTCCTTACAAAATTAAAAAACGTTATTTTACAAATTAAGATGTAGAACTACTCGAGAGGCTTAACCGTAGCCAAGTTGGTAATCCGTATGAAAATTGATTTAGTTTTGAAAAAATTCTGAGGAATTCTGATAAGGGGGAACTTTCGATTTGGCATGTTAAAATTGTTGTTTGATTTTGTATAGGATATAGTTACAAACTATGAATCTAACTTTTATACTAGCACCGGCAATTATGACCATGGCGTGATAGTCGAGCCCGGATCCTTCTAAATAAATAAATTATAGAAGTTTTTACTTAACAAACAGGAGAAACGAGAACTCCAAATCGGCTATGAAATATACTGCCTAGCGTAATTTTCAGAATTGATTTCAAATAAAATTGCGAGATTTTAATGAAGAAACAGAAATGTTTGTTAATGGAGTAAAGAGGAGGATGTGAATTTTGAAAATTTGAATTAAACTTATATGCAGAACCAATCCCGATCTCTAACCATGAAGGTGTTTGGCATGATTAGAGGTACAATGTACTATGTAGGCAGCGACAAGAAAACTGACCTCGGAAAACCAGAGCAGTGTGAAGCAGATCAAAAGCTAGACGAGCCCAGCGACTACATCGAAACTGATAGCTGCCGCAGCAGCTTTTGCATAATAAACCCAGCCGAAGGCAGTTGGAAGGGCTATCGATTGCAGCCAGCAGCGAGTCGATCGGTGCTAATCACAGATCGGATATAAGACCAGATATCGTATGACCAGCGACTATAATACTAAGCAGCCGGGCTATAAAAGTCGGCCGAGCAGGCCTGAAAGCCAGCCAGTGCAGAGTCGCCAGCCAAAGAGATTGGATTAAGTCGTGGAGCTCCATCGTAGCATTCGTGTAATATAAAAGCAAAGCACAGAATCCACAGGTGACAACAGGAGTTATGGCATTTCGCGGCAAGAATGCGGTGGTCACAGGCGGCGCTGGAGGAATTGGTCTGCAGGTGGCCAGGCAGCTGCTGGTGGCGGGCGCCGGGGTGAGCTATGGCTGAAGTAATCCTTGTGAACATTCGAAGATATGTGTGCATGTGTGTTCCACAGAAGGTTGCCATAATTGACATACAGGATAATCTGGAGGAGTTTGTCAAGCTGCGCGCAGCGCATCCCACGCAGAGTGTCATGATTATCAAAATGGACGTTGCTAACAAAAAGGGCGTGGAGGCCACCTACGAGGAGATCAAGAAGACCTTCGGCAGCATTGATATTGTGGTAAATGTGGCGGGCATATTCAATGACAAGGATGTCCAGCGCACGCTCCTAGTCAATCTGGTGAGGCAACCAGTTACAATTCTTGGTTACAGGATTCGAAAAGTCTAGCCTTCTCTTGCAGGGCGGCATCATCAATTCCAGCTTGAGCGCTTTGCAGTACATGAGCAAGGAGAACGGCGGCAATGGCGGCATTGTGGTCAACATGAGCTCCGTTGTGGGCTTGGATCCAATGTTTATAATACCTGTTTATGGTGCCACTAAGGCGGGCATTATAAGCTTTACGCGTTGCCTGGGCGTGAGTACCTAATGGAAACTATCTGGAGATCCTACTTAATTCCACTTTCCACACACAGAACGACAAGTTCTATCAACGCTCTGGCATTAAGTTTGCCACTGTCTGTCCCGGCGCCACCATGACGGACATGTTTACCAATTTCACGGAGAAGATCATCTTTCCAGAGACCAGCGATGAGACATATAAGATTTTGGATAGTTTGAGCAAACAGAGCGCCACAGATGTGGCCCGCTGCATTCTGAATGTGCTGGAGAAGGAGAAGAACGGCGCCGTCTATGTGATTGAGGGCAAACGCATCGTTCCCATTGACATGAAGCCTCACTGGACTGGCAAGGAGCCGGCGCTTTGAGCTAACTGCATATCCAAAAGCTGAACAATACACAATTAACCACTAATCAATTTGTCGAGGGTAGTTTTTAATAAACAATCAAGCATACTGTATGGGCTGCCATATCTAATCCTGTCGCCAGTTGACCAGCACCTCATCCGTGCGATATCGCTGCGTTACGAATGCATCTTCCAGTGGCATTTGCGTGCCGGCGCTGAACATTTCGGCGCCCGCATGAGCTATCATTAGGCCATTGTCAATGCAGTAGCGTTCGTCAATGGCAAAGAGTTTGCCGTTGCGCTCCTCGCACATGATGCGCATCATCTCCTGCAGGCGCTCGTTGCAGCCCACGCCGCCGACAATTAGTACCTGGATGGACAACAGACTTAGATAAACAAATATACAAATATGTAGAGCAACCTCTCACTGACCTCATTGGATTCACAGTGCGCCATGGCGCGCTCTGTAATCTCGACTAGCATGGCAAAGATGGTTTCCTGCAGCGAGTAGCATAGATCCGCCTGGCTATACTCGGGCTCCGGCTCATCCTGCTGTTTCTTGCGTTTGTTGCGCCGCTTGCCAGGCTCGGCCAGCTCCTCAATATGCGATAAAATGCCGGAGAAGCTGACATCCATGCCCTTTACCACATATGGCAATTTGATGTACTGTGTGCCCTGTTTGGCCAGCTGTTCAATGTTATAGCCCGGACTGGGATCGTTCGACATCTTGATAATGCGCGCAAATCTATCCAAGCAGTTGCCCACAGCAATGTCTATCGTTTCGCCAAAGATGCGATAGCGTTTATTGGAGTACGCAATCACTTGGGTATTGCCGCCGCTCACGTACAGCACAATCGGATTCTGGGCGCCTGTTATCAATCGTCCCATTTCAATGTGGCCAATGCAATGGTTAACACCCAGGAGAGGCTTCTGCCAGAGCAACGACAGCGTGCGCGCCACAATGGCGCCAACCAGTAGAGGTGGCGCCATGCCAGGACCTTTTGTATAGCAGATGACATCCAAGTCGCTGGGTTTAAGTTGTGCCTCCTTCAGACTCGCCTGCACAAGTGCCAGAATTGCCTCGCGGTGATGCTTCGCCGTCTCCTTGGGCAGAAAACCTGTTGCATAGAAATAAAGTCAAAGTAATCGTAGTTGAATGGCAGCATCTGAGATACCTTCACCGGGCGGTGTTATGTAGGTGCGTCGCACATTTGCCAAAACTTTGCCATCGTTTATGATGCCAATGCCAATTTTATTGGCGCTGCCTTCGATGCCCAGCGCGCAAACCATAATTGTTTACTTTTGTATTAGAGGTGAGTCACTGTGACTGCAATATTGCTCATCTCTTATGCAGCTGTCCGATAGCATAACATTGACTATCGATAACAAACATATGTTGCACTGCATTGCGAATGTCAGTGGCGCCAGTGCATGTCAACGTGGCTGTGTGAATGACGCTTTTCAATAGGAGAGAAGAATGTAGTGAAAACAAATCAGTTAATTTTTGCAATATTTTGTATTTGTTTTAAAAGTACTTAAAAATGGAAACGGCTCCAGCGCCGACCGAGTCAAACAGTGAGGGCATTGATTTGGCTGCTGATAATAGCTGTGGACCAGCTAATCAAGCGGCTGCAATAAAATTAACAAATGACGCCGACGTGGATGCAGCGACAGCTTCCGCGGAGCAACAACAGCAGCTGGAATGCAAGAGCAAAGTACAAAGCGAAGAGAACACAGCGATAACAACAACAACAAATGAAACTACAGTAGAAGATAAGAATACACAAGTTACAAGCGAGTTAGCCATAGTTAAGGAAATGCATGCGTCTGTTGTAGAGCAAATGGTCAGACAAAAACCCGAGGATTCCGCCACGGTCATCAGTTTTGCAGAGCTTAAAGCGCAGGAGGAGCAACAGGAGCTTAACAAGGATGCTCCGCAGCAGGACATACTTGCACATGTGCACTGCCTGGCGCAGCTGGAGGAGCAACGGCGCAGCTATGAACGCCAGCTGGAACAGCTGCGTACGGCAAATGCCCAAAAGGATAACATGATGCAGTTGCTGCAGCGCGAGAATGCGATACTTGATAAGGAGAAGCAGGCATTTCGCAATGAAATGGATTTGGCCAACAAGGAGAAGGAGACGACAGTCATCAAATTTGCCATGAAAGAAAAGCTGCTAATCGATGCTAAAAAGGAGAAGGAGGCGGTCGAGAAACAGCTGGCCGATGCCAAGAAGGAGGTCAAAAACATTTCCATTCGCTTTCAGGCGGTGCACGAGGAAAAGTCGCGCATGACCTATATCATTGACGAAAAGGTGAGTCCTTTGAATATGACAAAGAGTCTATTCTAGCAATATTTTACATTTCGTAGTGCGGCGAGGTGCGCAAGTATCAACGCGAGCTCGAGAAGCTAAAGTTGGAAATGGGTCACTTGGAGTCCAAGCTGAAGTACCATGCCAACAAGCTGAACATTGAGGTGGAGGCTAAAGCGGTACGTGGCATATAATAATTATCCTTCTTCGAAATGTAAGCTTTTCTCATCTGCAAACTGTAGCAATTGGAACGCAAGCTGGAAGAGGAACGCAATGCGCCAAATAAACTTGAGGAAAAAGCCAATGGTAAGTCCTTATGCAGGCTCTTATGTCCTCTAATTATTTCCATCTATTGCAGAGAAGCTAAAGGTGGAATTTGAAGCCAACTCAATACTCCTGAAACACGACATAATGCGCAAGACTGAGGCACTGGATAAGCTCACCAAAGAGCATCAAAAGCAAAGCGAGGCTAACAAGGAGCTGCAACAGCAGTTGCAGGAAATCAACGCAGCGGTACAATCCACTATATCTTGAAATATACATTTATGTTTTACTCACTAATGTCCTTTGCTCTGCAGCATCAACAACTGACCGAACAGTTCAAGGAGCTGCAGTCGCAGCATAGCTCCGTGGAGGCAGCCTACAGCGATGAGCTGCTGAATGCGGCCAAGCTGCATAGCCAATTGGCTGAGCTGCAGCTTCTGCGCACGCAGAATACAATGTACGGACTCTCAGTAAATAAAAGTAGCATTAATTTGGAGTATTTGTATATTCGGGCTCCGGAGATCCTTCCGACCGTTTGTGCATATTTTAATAGTCTGATGTTTGATCTGAAGCTCTAACTAAGGAGTTATAGCAGCTTTATGTTAAAATAATCTGATCCGTCTGACTCCGACATATATACTGCCTGAACCCATGCCAAGTTTCATGAGGATATCTTTTAAAACTGCAAAACTAGTTTGCTTAGAAACAGACAAAGAGACGGTCATCAATAACCGAAGTTGTCTCCACGACATTGCCTGAAAAATTAGAATACCATCAATCGCTAATTTATGTCATTAATTTCCGCAGCAACGAACAGAAACTGGCTGAGGAGCAGACAAGAGTACAAAAATTGGAGGCCACTGCGCTGGACAATGAGACAGATTTGTCGCAGCTGCAGCAAAAGAAACAGGAACTGCTGAGCATCAACAAGGAGATGAGCGAGCTAATAGTGCGCCTGCAAAATGATATCTGCCTGGCAGAGTCTAAGGTAAGTGTATAAGAAAAAAATAAAAATGAATCTAAAAAAAGCTACATGCCCCGGGTGAGGCTCGAACTCACGACCTTAAGATTATGAGACTTACGCGCTGCCTACTGCGCCACCGAGGCCTTGTTGTCAATGCATTTCAAAGCTCCTACTAAATATTTCTATTTTTACGAACAGGCACAAGGTCTCGAGGCAGAGAATAAACTGCTGAAGCAGGAGAAGCTCACATACGATGCCAAATACAGCGAACTGGAGCAACAGCTGAGCGCCGAGGCGGACGAGAAAAATCAGGAGCGTCAATTGCTAGCGAAGCATCTCTCTGAGAAGACGAAGCTCTACGAGCTGATTAAAGGTAAGCTGGAGAATGTGCAGGGCGACTTTGAGGCGACGCAGCACAAAAATGCGACGCTGGTCAAGGAGCTGCAAAGGGAGCTACAAAAGTACAAAAGAGGCATTGTGGACGCCAAGCCCGTTGGCTACTGCAGCAACTGTCAGCAGGCGCTGAATGGCTACAGCCAGGAGCAGCAGCAGCATCAGCAGCAACCGCTGCGCACTCACAGCCGCACGAGCAGCCAGGGCAGTCTGCACAATGGCAGTCGACGCGCCAGCGAATCATCCGAATCCGAAACGGTGGCCAGCAGTGTGACAGCTGTGCCACAGACAGACCTGCAGGCGGTGCCGTCCAAGAAGGTTCTAGTAGAGCGCATTTTGCGCCTGCAGCAGGCCTCAGCGCGTCAAACCGAACGCATCGAATTCCTAGAGAATCACACGGCCATGCTGGTCTCGGAGGTGCAGAAGAAATCCAAGGTGGTGCAGCATTATATGCTGCGCGATCAGACAGCCGGCGCGCTCACCTCCTCCAAGAGTGATCAGAACAAAAGCGAGCTGGTCAAGTACGGCAACGGCGTCATGGCGGCCATCTATGGCGGCGTCAAGGGCGCCGAAAATAAGAGCATGTCCCTGGAGCTCTCATTGGAGATCAATAAGAAACTGCAGACCGTGCTGGAGGATACGCTACTTAAGAATATAACGCTCAAAGAGAATCTGGATGTGTTGGGCCTGGAGGTGGATAACCTAACGCGCAAGCTGCGCTCCTACGAACTAAGCAAAGTACAGTGAAATCTCGTTGCCGAGAAGTCCACTGTACTGTTCCATTCCATAGTCTAACTGCCTGTACATATAGTTAAACAAATTCGTTGCGATTAAGTGTAAATTAAAAGTTTAATATGCCAACAAGTGCTACAGTTGATGCAGTGCCTCACAGCAGCCCATCGTAGAGCTTGGCGCTGACTTTCGTCGGTTGGCCCACGTCCATGGACAGCTGCCGCGTCGGCTGCTCACCAGCTTGGGCCAGGCGCGCCAGCTTGTTGTGCGTCTTCTTGAAGTGGACATTGATTAAAGGATTCGCCTCACTGGTCTCATCCTTAATATACTCGCGCAGCAGCGGAGGCAGTTCCATCTGTGTGGGCAGCACCACAGGCTCTACCTTTTTGGTGTTGGTTAGAAACTTGTGCTCCTGGTCAACGGGCACCAGCTCGTAGTCGGCCTTGTAGCTGGTGCTGTAGATCTCAACGGGTTTTGGCTGGGTCACGCCGCGCCAGGTCTTCTCCACGGTCACGCGAACCTTGCGCTCATTGTCGGGCTATGCATAGGAAATATATAAGATTCAGCTTCCACCTGTCTTCGCCGCGCTTACCTGCTCGTCCACCGCCTGCACTTTTAGTATGCGCATGTAGCAGGGCTCCGGATAGCGCTGAAACATGTTACGTATGACCATGCGACCGATGCCCCAGTCGGGCAGATTGCCCACGATCTCCCATAGTGAGTTGCCGCGAAAATCTGTAGTGCGTCCAATGTACTTGATTACTTTTTGGCTCATGGCGCTTATATTGTACGCCTTTTTATTGATAACTGGAGAGAAGTGCAATGGCTGGAGAAGTAAAAATATATTAGATGGGCCCGGTGTGCTACTTCTTCCTTTGGAAAGCCATTCGCTTGTTATGCAAACAGCTGTGCATTTAACAGCGCTGCCACTTTTTGCATAGTCATGGCGCGAGAGAGTTTACAGTGGTTGGCAACGCGGTGTGTATTTGAATTGTATTAGTGTAGAAAAACACAACAATGCATTGCGAATAAGAGAAGAAGAGGGAAAAAGAGAGCGAGCAAATTGAGATGGCAGATCCAAGCAATGTTATCGATATCAGCCCCAAAAGTGTTGGCGCCTGGCAAGCAGAGCTGTGGAAATTATGTTAATCACAGTTATCGATAACAGTGCCAAAAGTTTTCGCTGCTGAAAAGATCCTCGTGTTCGCGTGTGTTGTGTTTTGTGCCAAAAATATAAATATTCGCGTGCAAATTAATCATTTTAATGGTGAGTTTTGTTCCATTTAGTACAACTATTCGGTTAAGCACGCATTACCACGCTTATATTGTATGTTTATATGTACACTTATGCATTTGCTTTTTGGTTTGGAATGCCTATAAATTACATAAATATGCATTGATACTAGCTACAATTGTTATAAGATTTGGTTTATAAGTGGACTAGCCATTGTGTGCGTGCTCTTCGATTGCATCGCTTGCCGTGTGACCCACTCCGCTTGTGTCCAGCTGCTCGTCATACGACTCCAGCTCCTCCTCGTGATTGTGCTCCTGCTGATTGGCGCTCTCGTGCAGTCCGATTGTGGCATGTGCCCCAGCCTTGGAGGCATTCACCTGTGCCGCCGCTGCCGAGGAGGCCGCCTTGATGGCCGACTCCTTGGTGGCCGCAAAATCGACGCGCGCCTGTTGCAGCTGTTCCTCGACCTGCTCCACTCGATTCTTGGCCTGACCCACCATAGTTGCCTGCGAGGCCAGCTGGTTGGACACCTCGTTGGCGGTTTGTTCCGCCTGCTCAGCCAACGACTTGGCATTGTTCACGGCCGCCGTCAGCACAGAGATGTGATTATTCGCCGCTTGAGCGGTTTGCTGCGCCAGCTTAGCGGACAGCTTGGCCGCTTTTAGCTGCTCCAGCTCGCGCGAGAGTGCACGCTGCGCCTCGGCTGCCTGCTGCTCCAGCTCCTGGAGTATCACCTGCTTGCCGGCGAGCGCTGCCTGCGCCGTTGCGGCGGCCTGAGATGCGGCCTGTGCCAGCGTGTTTTTGGCTATGAAGGCGGCCTGCTTGGCCGCCGCATGCTGATTGGCCACGGCTGTGTACGCCTGATCCGCCGATCCCTGGGCTATCGAGCGCAAGCCGCTGCCTATGCTATAGCCAGGCTTGCTCTCCCCATGACTTTGGTGGCCTTTGGAGCTGCTACCGCCGTGGTGCTGATGTTGCGACTGGTGCAGCTGGTGCTGCTGCTGCTGGTGCTGCTGTAGCTGGTGCTGATGCTCCTCCGGCTCTTCGGGTCCTGTTAGCGTGGGCTCAAAGTATCCGCCGCTGCTGTGCTGATGCTGTGCCTGCGGATACGGTTGCAGCTGTCTGTAGTAGTAGCCATTGCGCTTGTGCAGCCTGCCCATGACCTGTTGCGAGCAGAACAGCGCTGTGTGGCACATTAATCCCAGATCCACATCTGCCTAGTCCTTGAACTTACCTATGAGCAGGTGGCAGAGCAGGCAGCTAAATCCCTTGTTGTACATCTTACTGCTAAAACTGCATTAAACATTTGCTCCAGCTGTGCCGTGGGTTTTATACCCGGCCCATTCAACGCCAGCGGTGCATAAATTTTTAGTAGTGCGGAAAGTCAGTTGCGGCTTTTGAGTTTAACGGGCTCTCAACATGTAAGGTTTATAATATTTTTGGGTGATTTGAATATCACACACCCGCTTGAGGAAGCGCCTCTTAGTTTTATGTTGGTTTTGGGTGGTGTAAATCTGTTGGCTTTGGCCTAACAACTGGCCATCGCATCTGGTTAGACAAATAATTTGCATTTGATGGGTTGCGCCCAATTGTAATTGATACTAAGCTGGTTATAATAGAGTTTCAGTTGCAAACCATTTTTTATTCCTTTTTTTTATTTTTAATTGTTAATTTTTTAAACATAAATTAAATTTAGAGATATTAAGCAATGTAGGGAAAGTTGTGTGGCGATATAAATATTTCTGTAGGGTTTCGGCATTCATTAGGGGATCTGATGTCCAAAGCTTGAATAAAAAACATTAAGATCGGTGTTTCAAAGTCGGACTAACAAGCCAAAGGTTGCTGTTATGGGGCTGGGAAATTTTGACCAATGGATATTTAAGGGTAACATTTCAACATGAATTTCGACCAAAAATAATGTTGCCAGATTTGGATGCCACATTTATTTAGAGGCTTAACCATTAACAAAAAGCCAAACTTTATGAAAATCGGATGAGATTTGACCAAGTTATGGGGGTGGGAAATTTCGACTTATGACTATATAAGATATTTGAGGGTACCATTTCAACATGAATTTCGACCAAAAATAATATTTCCAGATTTAGATGCCACATTTATTAAGAGGCTAAACCATTAACAAAAAGCCAAACTTTATGAAAATTGGATGAGATTTGTCCAAGTTATGGGGGTGGGAAATTTCGACCTGTGTCTATATATGATATTTGAGGGTACCATTTCAACATGAATTTCGACCAAAAATAATGTTGCCAGATTTAGATGCCACATTTATTTAGAGGCTAAACCATTAACAAAAAGCCAAACTTTATGAAAATCGGATGAGATTTGACCAAGTTATGGGGGTGGGAAATTTCGACCTGTGTCTATATAAGATATTTGGTACCATTCTTACATGAATTTCGACCAAAAATAATGTTGCCAGATTTAGATGCCACATTTATTTAGAGGCTAAACAATTAACAAAAAGCCAAACTTTATGAAAATCGGATGAGATTTGACCAAGTTATGGGGGTGGGAAATTTCGACCTATGTCTATATAAGATATTTGAGAGTACCATTTCAACATGAATTTCGACCAAAAATAATGTTGCCGGATTTGGATGCAAAGTTGATCTAGATGCAAAACCATGAGCAAAAAGCCAAACTTTATGAAAATCGGTTGAGTTTTGACTGAGTTATGGGTTGGGAAATTTCGAACTGTGTCTATATAAGATATTTTAGGGTAGGAGAAAAGCTGTGATTCTGCGATAAGTGTGAAACACGTCTCAAATGATTTTTCATAACGCAAATAGTTTTTTTTTTTGTCATAAATTAATTTATTTAAATAGTTTTTTAATTTATTACAAGTATAAAAAATAAATTAATTAATATAAACACAACTATTTTACACAATACAAATTGGAACTTGAATGGAGAGCAATACAAGAGATTGCCAAGGCACTCGCTAACTAATTGAACAATCGAGTCTGAGCTCGATGAGTGTGACAAAGAGTGTGTGTGTGTGTGTGGGTCATAACAATAAAAAAACATAATAACAAGGTAATAAGGAGGCCTAAACGTACAGTAAATAATGGTAACGAGCGGTAACAGTAACTCGAGTGGGCTAACGAAACACGAGAGAGTGACGGGCGTTACATAAGGGAATGGCTGCTCAAAAGTGAAAAACAAATTGATCAGAGGCGTCGTCATTTCTTGTGCTGCCCCCTGCGTGGTAGGCGCTGATTTCGGCTGCCTCTGTGGTGACGTCTGTTAATCATTTGTAGCTCTGCGTGATTTGCTGAATCCAAGGCAAGTAGGCCGAGACCTTAACATAGACACCGGGCACGTTTACCTGACCGCAGCCAATGCCCCAGGAAACGACGCCGACCACGTTCCAGACGCCGTTGCGCTCGCAGACCAATGGACCGCCGCCATCCCCTTTGCAGGCATCCTTGCCCTCCTCACCTCCGGCGCAGATAAAGCCGGGATTGAGCTTGTAGCTGTAGCCAAGACGGGTGTTGCGCAGCTGGGATTCGCACTGATGATGCGACAGAATGGGCACATCGACCTCCTTCAGAATGTTCTGGTATTTGCCGTGCTCACCGAAAGCATCCTTGCCCCAGCCGGTGGTCCAGCAGCGGGCATTGGTGAAATCGGAATACTGATCGGGCAGACAGGCGGGGCTAATGTGCGGGTTCTTGGTGAAGTCCACAGGTTGATCCAGCTTCAGAATGGCCAAATCATTATCGAGCGTGCCAGCATAGTACTCGGGATGAATGTGCACGGAGACGACATCACGTTCAATATAGGGGAAGAATTCCACATCATGATTCACATCCCACTCGCCCAGGCGCACGCGCAGATCGAAACCATTTTGACTGTGTCGGGAATTAATGGCTTAGCAAAATGGAGCGGGTAATTTTTGCGAAATTTTAACTTACGATTTAATGCAGTGGGCCGCCGAGATGATGTGCTGGGCGTCGATGAGGGTGCCACCGCAGGCGTAGATCGACTCCTTGGGATCCTTCTTCAGGATAGCCACATGCCAGGGATATTCACCGAATTCACTGTCGCCATCGACATAAACTGGATTCTTGATGCGACCCGTAATGCCGGCCGCGTTCCTTACTCCACAACGTCCCAGCTGCTGCTGAGGTGGTGCCTGTGGGCGCAATGGGCGACGGCAGCAGACCTCGTTGATGCGGCAGGTCTTCTCAACAGGACGGTTGCCGTAGTAAGCGCGCTGCAAATGAAATTGGCAAAGAATAGTTGAAGGATTAAAATGTGTTATAGGTGGTTTTCTCGTTTAAACATCCTCCCAGCTCGTTAACTGCAGATATGGTTACCTGCTCTGCGCCCAACTCAAACTCATCCACATTATCAACGCTTCGTCTCCTGCGATCATGGGGAAAGGTCACATAATCGCTGCCCGCTGCAGCGCCTGGCGCTTGAGTGGGTATATTATGCACTTGCCCCAAATTCAGTTGCTTGCCACGGCGACTAGGTGCCGTCCAATCGGGTGCGCTGACATTAACGCTACGCTCATGATGTTGGGAATAATCCCCATAGCTGCCAAATCCACTGGAACCAAAATCGGAGTGCGACGTCTCGGGATAAATCGAGTTGAAAGAGTGATCAAATGGGGCCTCTGAGTGGTGCTCGTGGTGCTCAGCATGATGTTCCGCGTGATGTACAGCGTGATGCTCAGCGTGATGCTCATCGTGATGATAATGCTGTACTGGCGGATAGAATGAGGGTCCGCTGTGATACTCAAAAATGGGCGTGCTGGGCACCATCTCAACGCTAAAGTGTTCAATATGTGCGGGTCCGGTGCTTTCGTAGTCGTGGTGGTGCGACGGTGCGCTATAGTGGTGCGGATGGTGATCATGCTCGTAGCCGCTGAAGTGATCGTGGTGATGGTAATGCGTGCTGTAAAGTTCGGTTGGTTTCTTCTTGAAGAAATCGCCCACTTTCTGAATGATATTCGCATTGGGTGTCACATGCAGATTGACCAGAGGCTTGACTACCTTCTCGCCGTAATCCGTTTTGCTCACTTGCAGCGAGACCAGAGGATTGACATTGACCAGACCCAGATTCAGACCGTTGGGACCCAAGGAGCCAAAGTAGGGATTCTGTGCGGGATAATAGTCACCCAAGACATTGGATGGATAGCCGCCCGGGTAGCCAGCCGAAGGGTAGGGCAGGCCGAAACTAACTCCGTATGTGGGCAGCACCTTGCGCTGTATGAGCTCAATGGCTTGGAGAGCGGGCAATGCCAGCGGAGATGGTCCGAGTAGTCCCTGACGCTGCAGGAAGAAGGACACGTAGTTAGGCTGGCGCTGGCTGAGCTGATGGACGTGCGACCTTTTGACCCCGTGCGTGGTTAGGTTGGTTTTAGTTGCAGTTGGATTAGTGACGATCCTGAATCGGTGGCAACCAACCCACGCACGCAGGGCGCAGGGAGACGACGACGAGCGGGGTTTTTTTTTATGTTTAGTGGACCTTGGCGGAGTTTGAGTTGAGCGTGGAGCGTTGATCAATGGGTGCAGTTGGGTTGTGTTTACGTGTATGTGTGTTTTGGTGTGCGTGTGTGTGGAGGGTCTAGAGCACAATTAGTATCAACTAGCATTATATACTAGGTGTCAATTGCATTAGTTGGGGCAGTAACATGATCTAGGGATTCAAGGCTTAGCTAAGTAAACGTAGACACTTACCCCTTGAGCATCCAATGAGAGGTCGCTGGTGTCCTCTTCCTTGTTGTCAGCATCGGTTTGGCGGCGTGTGCGTTTCTTTTCTTCCTCATCCTTCTTGTCCTCCTTGGCATCAGCCTTTACAGTAGCATTGGCATTGGCGGCAGCATCATCGCTCAGCGCTTCAATGTCCTTGCCCAGATTTCTCGGGTCAATGGGCAGAATCAGATCCTCTTTGCGTCCAATGCGATCGGCGGCAGGGCACTGAGAAATGGGCACGCACTGGCAGTCGACAATTTGCTGACGGGAAGTGTCATAGCCACCGGCGCCCTGGTACAAACCACCCTGGTTTTGGCCTCCAAATCCTGAAGAGAGGCCGTTGTAGTTGCTCGAGGCGCCACCCTGCAGCTCCTTCTTGTAGTAGTCGGGATTCTGGCTGTGATAGCTGCCGCTGGGCGAGCCACTGAAACCATTCTGGCCGAAACCGCCGGATTGTGACAAGCCGGAGCTGCTGCCGAAGTTGCCGGAGCTGCTGCCAAAGTTGCCGGAGCTGCTGCCGAAGCTGCCCAAACCGGATGTAGGCTTATACAAATCGCCATTTGGTTTCTGAGAGGGATAGCCCTGGGAGAGCAGACCACCCTGGGAAGCACTATTGAAGCCAGCGTTGAAAGCATTAGACTGTGAGAAGCCAGAGCTGGAAGCCTGAGCCTGGGGCGTGTACGTGGCTGAGGATTGAGCCAAGGCGCTGAAGTCGGTGTTGACGGTTTGGCCGCCGCCAACGGGAATAGGCACACTTGGAATATTGGCACCCTCGCCGCCATCAACGTGATGGAAGTGATGATGGACATGCTGCTGCAGACCCGCATCGATGGGTGCACCCACAACAACCTTGGTGCTGGACGAGGAGGCTGCTGAAGATGAGGACGATTGTTGTGCATAGAAACCATTCAGAGTAGAGCTGGCACCTTGAATCTTTTCGGGATTCTCAAAATTGTACGGAGGCACTCCATTAGAAGGACCATTGTAGAGAGGACCGGACGGAGGACCGGACAGAGGACCGGACAGAGGACCGGACGCAGGACCGTTAGGTGGGCCACTGTAAAGGGGGCCAGGTGGTTTGCTGTCGTAGATGAGAGCGCCAGGTGGAGGCTTGGAGTAGGTAATGCCATCCGAGCCATCAATGGCCGATGGTGGTGGGTGTTCCAGATAGGCACCGCCGAACTGACCGCCAGGTCTGTACAAACTGTTCATTGGCGGCTTGTATGAACCCTCATAGCCAACCTTGCGCGGTGGACCAAAGGAGTTCACTGAGTTGGGTGGCGGACCACCCATTGGCGGACGTCCACTGAAATAGCTCGGTGGTGGCATGGGCTTAGCTGGTCCATAGGGGCCGCCGCCAAAGCCGGATGGTGGTGGAGGTCCTTGTGCGTAGATGGTCGAGTAGAAAGGACGCTTCTCTTCCACATCGCAGCTCATCAGACCCAGGCCGCAAAGCTTGTCGCGGATTAGGTTGCGAGCCTGCATATCGTTGCCTTCCTGGAGCGCCTGGTCGATATTGCCATCCGCATAGACGGCATCATATTCGCCCAGATTGCGTCCCTCGCGCCGTGAGTTGATCAGCTGATCGATGACGGTGTCAATCTCCGTGGCATTGCTCTGTGTGCTCTCATGCACGGCATAGTTGCGCCCCTGCGTCTCCTCGGCGGGTTTTGTGTCGGCGGAACGTCTGCTTAGCATGGACTCTGTGTCCATGGGCGCCCACTCATTGCCCCAGTCCGAATCGGCGGCAATTAGCGTGACGCTGGCCGCCAGCACCACCAACCAAGTCAGACCATGTCTCATTCTCATTCTCATTGTGTGTGTGCGTGTGTGCGTGCGTGGCGTCTGTGTGGATGGAAGAAAGGTAGTTTCGGGCATTACATAATCTGCTTGACACCAATAACCCAGACCATAATAAACGAACTGGTCATTGTCCCAATTCACGCTCACCAGCCCCTCTCACAACTGCCAACCTCCATATTCCGCTCTTTCACGGGCATTTCGCTGTGGCAATCGTGAAACCGGTTGCGGGCAAACGTCTTGAAATCTTCGCATGCTGACTCAGAGCTCGGCTTGAAAAGACTTTTACTTTCGTTCGAGGTCGCAGACCGTGCATGATTGCCGGCGCTAGCTATCCCCCCCTCCATTGTTACTGCCCCGCTGCCCATATATGAGGTAATTTTACCTGCTTTGAGATTTGGCAAGCCCCAAACGGATCGCTCAACATGATCTCTGCCCTGACAGCTGCCTCCGCTCTGATCTCAGATCTGGCTCTACGCTCTGTGCATTTTCGTAACTCCCCCAAAAAGTGTTCGCGCTCTTAACTGCGTGTTATGTCATTTACATTTTTAATGTGTTTTTCTTTCTGGAGCGTGGGCTGTAGTCTGTTGCGATCTTCGGGCCATTTTATTATTTTCGGATTATATAAAGAGCGGAGTTTCATCGAACGGAAGTCGTGTGCAACGTTGCATTGCAATTTGCGGGACGCAAGCCGGGGAGTACTCTGCTTTTTGCCTGGGCAATAAAGTCAATTTGAATGTGTGCGTGTGTGTGTGGGGCGCTTGCAAATGACTGGAAGCTTGTCTTGGGATTTGCAGTGAAAGTTTTTGATATAGGGTTTAGGTCGTTGACTTGAACATATATGTATATCGGAAATTGGGTGAGGTGGGAATAGTTGAATTGACTGTTTGTGTGGATTTAAGGTCGGAAGGATTTCTGGCCTGGAAATGAGCTTGCAATTGAAGCTTGTGCTTCTTGCATTGGGGTTAAAAATTGCTATATACTTGACGGGCATTTACTGCCTGAGAAATTCGAATTAGCAGACAATAATTTGAGGATCGGGAATCAGGCTTTGTTCATAAGCATTATCCATAAGCAGATCTTATTATTTGGGAGAGCAGATCGAATTATCTGTATGGAATCTGGTGTATTTGCCCTTTGTGGGGTTCTCTTTTATGCGAAGTTTAAAAGGGGCTCATTAAATCTTACAGGTCTAACCTGTACAATAGTACTTTCTGTATCTAATATATATTTAAGTAAACAGTCTTATAACGCTTTTCTATTTTAAGAAGTCTTGGCTTGTACTTGGGTATGATCTACACTTAAGGCTTGTATTTTTGCGTCCATTTTTCTATGCATGGACAATGTTTTTTTGGGCTGGAAGTCTACTGCACTACGTCTATTCCATAACATTTTTTAGGGAACTCAAATATTGTTCTGTTTAGGGAAGCATCAAACACTTGGAGCTTGCCTCTTTTATTTTTATTTGACTTGATTCAGGAAAGGTCGTCCACTTGGTACTCAGCTCTCTTTTAACCCACTTCTTTTTAACACTTATCACTTTCTGCTTCTTTCTTGCGCACTCTTACTAACCTTTTTTAAATATAAATATTCCAATCTGTGTGTGTTTTTTTTTGTAATCCTTATGTAAGTGGTTGCTTTAATCCTATCACTGCACCACTGCACCGCTCGCTGTGTGTCTGCTTCGTTTGTTGGCGATTTGTTCACTGATTTCGCTTTCGACTGCGCCGCGCATTTTATACAAAAGCTGCGCATGCGCAACGCCGACTTCGACGCGGACGTCGCAGCTGCTGCTTTTGCGAATTGTTGGCTCAAAACAAAACAGAGAGGCCGTAGCTTGCGGCTCGGTGGGGCTGATTTTCTGGCTATGACGTCAAAGGCTTTATTTTTGGGTTTTTTTTTCTGGGTCTACTGGACTGCATTCTGCGTATCAGCGAAGGTTAAGATGAGGTCTAAGCGGAAACCTTAGCTGCACGATGAGCCAAACTGAAGCTAACCGCGTTGCTGCAATCGTGTGAACAAAAGATGGCTCGTAAAAAAAAAAAAACAAAACAAAATTAAAAATAAAACATGTTGAAAACTCTTACGACCAAATTAGCGCTTTATGTTTTGGATGTGGGCTGCAGCTAATGTCGCGAGATGTTTCAGATGTCCAAATTTTCACCAGTTTCCGCTTAAGGCGCCAGTTTTTTTGTGCAACAGCCAACAACAGATTATGAAATTTGCAATTATTAATTGGGTCAGCAACGACACAACACACGAAATGACCCAAAGACGGGGCAACGGCGGGCGACGGCGGGCAACTGGGCCGCTGACTAAGCGATAAGCCCCAAAGGGCCAACGGGCTCAAAACCGGATCTGGCCTAAAATTTTGTAGCCACAATTGTTTGCTCCATGTTTACCCCCATGGCCGGCGACAAACAAACTCACGTCCAGACGCAACTGTCATTCATATGATTCGTGAGTGTTACTTTGATTGTGAATCAAACTGATTTTTCTGAAGCGGTTTTACCCGAAGTTCATAAAAATTAAAACGCGTCTCGTATAACGCCCGGCAACTTGTTCGTGTTGTGTGTGGTCAGTGATGCTTTCTGATCAATATTCACAAGCCACTTGCACTACTCTCTAATCAGCTAATCAGCAGTCGGTCGCCGTCACAGCGTCGTGAGTGTGTGATTGACCTTCCGGCGATTGGCAAGCGCTTAGAGCCGGGTTTAAGTGGTATTTTATGTTAACTATTCCATGAAAGCTAGATAATATGTGTAAGCGGACCGCTGCTCCATGCTAATTATGCTAATCAGCATAATCATTTCTCTCGTAAATACCCTGTAAACATTATGCATATGAAGAGTATGCTAGAGCTGTGAAAGTGAATGCCACAGGCAGATGTGGGCATTGCCGTACCTGTAAGGTATATATTCCTGATTCATCTCTATCGTATATGTACTTTTATTTTTCGCAAAAAAGTTACGCATCAAATCTATGCTCCCATTTTTTTTATCAATTTGAACTCCCAATTGAGTATCTACGGATCAATCACTTGTTAGAGAAGTTTTCCCATTCCCCCCAAGAAAAATTAATAACACGATTTTTAAAGCAGTTTTTAGTATATGTATTTATTCGAGTTTCATCTTTAATTTTTATAATAATCGGGGAATAAAGACATAAATTATTTAACAATAGTTTATTCATATAATGAGTTAAAGAGTGAGAATCGCAGAGGCAGGAGCTATTTGGTGCATACTAAGCTGGTTACAGGGTATCTCCGGGTCGAGCATCCTCGACAGCTCGTTGTTAATGCTATTGTTGTCTCGATTGTTTGGCAAACAGTCGCCAGTTCAAGCGTTCGTGTAGCTTTTATCAATCAAAGCTTTGGCCATCGGGTCTTTTCTTCGCTTGACTCAGCTAAAGCGTCAGTTTGGCTGAGGGCATGTTTGAAGCAGCTGCTGCGCAAACGCACTTCCGATTGAATTTTGTGGAAATTAGTTAAATATTTGCCAGGTAAATTCCCAATAGTCGCCGCTTGAACTTGACCTCAGGCTGTGCACCTTGTTGCGGCCACAAGTGACAGCTAATGGAAGCGTGCGTAATCGGGTTCAGGGTTTCAAATAATCTCTTAATTGCAATTTCGAATCAAATTGCGCTCAAGTCGGCTTGTGCCAAATGTTGTGCTTCAAATACAATTTGAAATATAATATTTTAAAAACTATAAAATTGATTGGGTTAGACATTTTTCAAGGTTCAGCTAAGCTCTTCTTGAATCTATATAATTTAAGCTCTATTGGAATTCTCAGTAACTGTGAATAAATGAATAAATTAATAGAATAGTGGCTGGGTTAAGAGTGTTAAAATAAATTTTAAGAATTGTTTTGGGTTGCATAAAATGAAAGAATATTCAAGACAGAGGCTTTTGAATATAAACGATTTTATCTATATTAGAAAGTATTGTGTGGCACGTGTGGCTCTCTTGTTGATAGCTTTGCATATCTCTGATTATATTATAATTATAGTTTATTCGTCTTTTCTATTAATGTGAATAGCTTCGAACCCACAAAATTGAGGCAAATCCCTGATTAATTTAAGTTAATTAATCCAACTATTTCCAGCTGTTCCTAGCCCTAATTTTAAGTCGAAATATAAAGGAAAGAAGCCCAAGAAGTGAACCTCTCGTGGAAAACCTAATGACCCATTAATTTTTACCTCTGGTTGGGCTAAATCCTTGCTTTAGTTGAAATAAGATCAAACCAAGTTCAAAATAATAATCGATAGACAACTTGTGAGCCAAACGGTTAGAAATTCAGTTAATAAATCGATAACATCGATAAAAATATTGATTATTTACCATCTCTAGCTTACACATAATTTGTTTGAAATTACAAAAACCTCGCTAATCTGCGCTGATTTGCACACAGCCCATCCCTTCTCTTCATTGCCTCAATTTAAGCCCAAAATGGTTTGTCTTCAAATTTGTCTCTCTTTCTCGTTGCCTGTCTCTTTCTCTGGCCGAAGGTCTTGCTTTTATCTCTGGCTCGGTGTGTGTCAATTGCCTAATAACCAATAACTGAATAACGCCCACACATCCAATACATTTTGGCAAGTTTCTTTACAAATATGAGGCAAGCGACCAAACCCGACTCTAATACTGGGGAAGCTTGACTGCAGCTGCAATTGCAACCGCATTCATGTCAAATAATTGCAACTGTGCCACGGATTTGCCCAAAACTTACGAAAAATGAGGCTTGGAAAATCCCGGCAAAAAAGCAAATGCAAGAGACGCGCCAAGCTTCAGTTAACACTTGGCCTAGCCAATTCTCTCAGCGCACACAGCCGGTCGTTAAACAGCAGGCCTTGGGGAAACCCCAGCTAAAGTTTTTGTGGCAAGCCATTCAGCTGCGTCGCTGCTCCGACTCAGTCGCAGCCTCAGCCTCAGTCTCAGTCTCAGCCTCTGTTTGTATTTGTATCTCACTGTTTGCTGGCTTACATAATCCAAGCACCAAATGCAGTCGACG